AAACGCAGAATATAGAGAATAAAAATTTTGTCGAAACTGATCGAAACCTTTCCTGAGACAATTCAAATAACAATAAACAACAAACAACCAATCCCAATGTGTCTCGTCGTCTCGGTCTATTTCAATCTATTTCGGAGTGTACGGCCGGGAAAAGCCGCAACCCTAAGAAAAGCATTGAGTTTACTTCCCAAATATTTCGAGAAATGCTTCGCGAAATGTTTCACGAAATGGGTGTTTATAATTGCGAAAATGGGTGTTTATAATTGCGATGTAAGTAAATTAAATAATTGCAATTTATGGTGCATATTTAATTAACTAGTTACTCTATTTTATTCTTCCGGTGATATTTCTATCCTATTACGTATATAAATTGAAGCCCCTATGACATTATCTAGCTTCTTAAATAGAAATAAAGCAAACGCAGCCTAACTTGGTCTTCAATACGATCAAACAAATTAGCATAGACAACGTAAAAGCGTTAGTATTATCGTATTATTAGATAAAACGACTAAATTATATGTCTCTCCACGAAATGCAAATGAGCAATTTCTATAATTCCTAGCAGTAAGCGTACGATTATGTGGAACAAATGTGCTACGTTGACCTACTTTATATTCCTTTATTTTTGTTAGAAATAAAATACAGAGGAAATTCAGTTCATACAGATATGATTCCTCAATTTGCCGTCTCCAGCGAATATACTGGTCTATTGCGGTTAAAAAAAATTAGTACCTATGTATGTCCATTTATACCTCAAAAACAGTAGGACTGATTTTAAATTTTAATATTCCTTAATTTGTTGGATTCGTCTCTATTTCAAATAGATGACTAACTGTTAAAATTTCGGAAAAATTCACGACAAAAAATCATGCAGAAAATTATTTTTTTAATAAATTTGGTATGGAACTTTGACCATCTTCCGCAATTGACAGCTCACGTCACGCACGCTTATAGCTTATTTGCGATAATTGATGTCCACTGTAGGTCAGTGACATACTAGAAAGTATCCCATCTGACCATCTTGTCGGAGGTCTGCCTCTGCTAGAAGCAGAAGCAGAGGCAGCGGCCAAGACAGCATCCTGTCTTGGCCGCCATTCTACTATTAGCCTGGTTCATCTATCGCCCGTTCTTCTGGCAATATACCCAGCCCAGTTCCATTTGACTTAAGCAGATATATATCATCTGTTATTTGTGTACGCTGTTTTATAACTGTATTGGGTGTCTTGTCTAGAGATATAACAAGCATTGTGTCTTGTCTAGAGATATAACAAGCACTCTTTCCATAGCTCGTTGGGCTACACCGATTTTTTCTATGGATTTTTTCGTCAGTGTAATTGTCTCTGCACCATATGTAAGTAGTGGTACAACGCACTGATGGAGCACCTTCCTCCATTTCACTATTCCGAAAAAATAGCAAGATAAGTGTTCGGCATTTAACGTTTTATTATTAAGAAATTAAAGATAAAGGATTATACTATATCCGTATTGTAGCACATTTACTTCTTAATTTTTAAGATTTTGATAGTCAAACATCAACAAAACATTCCTTATATTTGGACAAAAATGTTCTCGAAGATAAAGACATAATTTAAAATTCCGTTACAATACGGAAATAGATTGAAGTTTTGTGATTACAGTGATATATAATTTATATGGTTTTGTAACAAATTGCTCGCTATTTTATGGCAAATGCTGAAGCTCTGCAAACCTTAATCAAGCCTTAATCAAAGCAAGTGTGTTTGGAATTTTGAGTATGGCTCAACACGACAGGATCGGCCTAAGCCTTAGGCAGTTTTCTGAAATATAATATATATTTCCTTCGACCACACACCCGTTTTACCCGACCTTTGAGAGCAACCCGAACAGTACAGCGTAATAGACTTTTAAGCACATTGGTAGATCTGATTTTAACACATCTTAGTTTGCCGAATGCTGCCCATGTTAGAACCTATTCTTTGTATCTCGCAGGTCTGGTTGTCGTGACCAATTTGTCACGACCAATTTCGTGCCCCAGATATTTATATGAATATACTATACTACTTATTCTATATTTGCTCCGTCCACCGCGACATTTCCACTAATAACAAGATTGGTCATTAGTTTTGACGTTTAAGTGTTTCTAGCATAATAAAAAGCACATAAAAAATACTTGAAGCGAAATATAAACAAAAATATAAAGAACAAATGACAACAACTGTCAAATCGATTGGTCCCAATCACTCCAGATCGTCCCGTCAATCAATCATCCGTACAAGAAGAACTCATACTTCACTTATTCACGGTTGGGCGGTACGAATTTAGCCGTGTTAGCTAGTTATATAATATAAAATCAAAATAACTACTCAAGAAAGGAATAATTGACAGAATTGACAGGGCCTCGGTCCTATTACAAGAAGAAGAAGAAGAAAGTAAGTACATACTCAGATTTTACTTAATTTTACAAATTTTACTGTGTAAAAATAAATTAATTATTTATTTTAGCGACCTGAAACCCGTTTGATTAGATTATTAAAATTTAAATTCAATAAATAAAAGACAAATTTGCAATGATTAAAAATAGTCTACCGTTCAGTTATTAAATAGAAATTGAGATACCTATTACAGACTTAATTATTACTTTTTTATTATACAAATAGACAAGTTATTTTCAAGGCTTATGTTTCCATTTATACTTATAGAACTTTATTTTTTATAAAAAATATTTTAAAGGAAGTCAATAAAGCATTTCTCATGTCAAGCTGAATGCAATTTAAAGTTTATCCTTGTAAAGCAAGTATTTTTTTATATTTGTGAAATATAAAGATGCAAGATAAATACTGCTTGTTTTTACTGTTATAATTAGAATAGGCCATTTAGAATATGACTTCTTTTGGTCTCTTCTCGGGTACCAGTGAATAATTTTTGGTGAACCATCCTTCACCAGTCCTTCTCGCGAGGTGATCTACTCCTGGCCATTTAAGGAATTTAATTCTGTAGATCAGATCGGTTTTATGAGTGAAATGCTGCCTAACATATCAAGCTATACATTGCTTTGTAGACATTTGTGCTATTTGAAGTTTGCTTGTGATTTCTTATTTCAATTCCAATTGCAAGTATTACATATTACCACAGATAACATAAATTGCTGCCTATTTTATGGCAAATGCTGAAGCTCTGCAAACCTTAATCAAGTCTTAATCAAAGCACGTGTGTTTGGAATTTTGGGTGTGACAACACGAGAGGATCGGCCTTAGGCAGATTTTTGAAGTATAATATACAGGGTGGTCCGAACTGTATTCCGGAAACTTCGACAGCATATTCTGCAGATAAAAATAAGTAAATAAGTTGGTATAAATGTATGTCCTAAAATGCTTAGTTTCGGAGATACAGGGTGTAGAAGTTTCATTTTTATTTAGGTTTTTTCCAAATAATTTCTGAAGTAACGTCAATATATGGATGAAAATTTGTATCTGGGAGTTTTTTGGCATGAGAAATTTTATTTTGATGTCAATATAACTGTTACTTGTAGGTAGCGCCACATACATGTGTTTTAACTGTTTTGAAGAGTAATAAATTTTCCTCCGTACCTGTATGAAACTACTGACTGAAGAAATACACATTTCCGTGATTTTTTAAGTAAAAAATGTTTCTTGGTAAAAATCGCTACTTGCAACCGTTTCCAAGATATTTAGAATTAAAACAGTCAATACATGTCATTATTGACAAAAAATAAACATGTTCAGTAGATAGTTATTTGACTGAAATTATAAATTTGGGAACTTTTTATTTGTTTAGATTAATCATAAATTTTTCTTGGAAAAAATTATGGTAAAACAGTTTCTACTGTAGAACAATTGGCACGAAAACATTTAAAAATTTATGATTTCAGTCTATTAACTATTTTTATATGTTTAATTTACAATAAGTAATATAAGAGTAATATTTATGTCAATGATGACAGGTATTGATAATTTCGATTCCAAATATCTCGAGAACCATTACTCGTAGTGATTTTTACCAAGAGAGCTTTTTTACATAAAAAAACTTCGTAAATGTATATTCTTTTACTCACTAGTTTTATACAGGTACTGACGAAAATTATTGCTGTTCAAACCAGTTAAAAAATATGTAGGTAGCGCCCTCTACAAGTAGGTGTTAACACCATAATCAAATTTCTCATGTCAAAAAACTCTTAGACAACAATTTTCACTTATAATATCACAAGAGCTTAAATTATTTTCGGAAATTTTTTTGAGGGCACGAATATTTTGAAAATTATCCCGAGTCGAAGACGAGGGATAATTTATATGACATATTATGTGTTTTGTCATTTTTAATAACATTTTTTTTAACATGGCAATTTCGAAGAAATTCATATGTAGGTATATCTAACATATTTCCTTAAATAAAAAATATTACCAACCTTAGTTACATCAAATGCTAAAACTCAAATGGGTAATATTTCAATATATAGACATTGTAGTTCATTCACATTATGATTGTAGATCTTATGTTTACCTTTTCAACTGTCAAAAAATTTCCACTAAAGTTTCGTGGCGCCTCGAAAAAATTTCCGGAAATTTTTTCAGTTGTCATGGTAACTAGTCAACATTAAAGCATGTTATTGGTTGAAAGGTAGAGGTGTGAAATTTTCATCGAAATATTGACGTTATTTCAGAAATTATTTGGAAAAAATCGATATAAAAAATCTACACGAAACTTCTACACCCTGTATCTCCGAAACTAGCATTTTAGGACATACATTTATACGAACTTTTTTACTTATTTTTATTTTCTGAATATGCTGCCAAAGTTTTCGGAATACAGTTCGTACCACCCTGTATATTTTCTTCGACACACCCGCTTTACCCGACCCCTGAGAGCAACCCGAAAGGACAGCGTAATAGACTCTTAAGAGTCATAGTACTTTACCAACTAACTTCGAATATACTATACCATTAGGACACCTTTATGTTTACATATTCCCCTCAAAATTCATCTTTTGTTCTCGTCCGTTCCAGGGTGACTACATCTGGATCGAACCCGTGACCAATGGCGAGTTCGACGTGGCGATCGGCGCGCAGGTGCTGCAAGCCGAGGGGCGCAGGGTGTACGTGCGCGATGACGACGGCAGGGAGCAGTGGCTCTCGCCGGAACGGCGCATCAAGGCGATGCACGCCACCTCCGCCCACGGCGTCGAGGACATGATAGGGCTGGGCGATCTGCACGAGGCCGGCATACTGAGGAACCTGCTCATTCGGTACAACGAAAATGTCATTTATGTGAGTAGTAATTTTTATAATTATTTGTTTCCCTCTCCTACGAATTTTCTGTGTTTGTCTCATTATTTTTTTTTTCATCAAAATGTTTTTTTTTGGATATTACTAGGGATTGGAGTTAATGGATTTTACCTATCGATAAATTATCGTAATTCAGCTATCGATATACAGGGTGTTTCAAAAAATATGTGCCATCTCTCGTGGCGAGATTCCTCACGTAAAAATAAGATTTATTTTTCATATCAACATAGGTCCGATTCTGCATTGTTTCGTAGCTATAGGGTGTTAAAGTCTTAATAATCTTTCGATTTATTATTATTTTCTTCCAAGTATTTTTAGTGATTCGAATGAAATTTTGAGATGATACTATAAGTGATACATATTTTAATGCTAAAAAAGTGTCGACAGATTCACCAGGGACGTGCATATGGGTTATCACTGGAATATTTTACAAAAAAAAAAATAATCTGCGCCATTGACTTTTTCTCTTTTGATATCAAAATTGTGTAGGTCGTTTAATGCCGATTAGAAGTTGTCTTTTGATATTTTGTCGAATTCGGCCTCCTTGATGAAATAAACGCATTTTTATTTATCACAATTAATAAAATTAAAATAAAAATATAATTAATAAATTATATATTTTACCTAATTTATTAATAAATATTATTAATATTAGTTCTTTTATTACTATAAGTCTAAGTTTCATATAAAAAATAATGGTATTTTAGATAATTCCAAAAAACATAATTTTAGTAAGTTAAGTTAAAGTTTCAACATCCTGTAATTCTAAAACTATGCATTTCCAAACCCATGTTTATAGGAACTTTTTTCATATTTTTTGATGAGGAATCAATGAGTATTTATTTAAAACTTTCACAAGTTAATGATATTAACATTTTTTAAAGGTTGTCATTAGGCTTGGATCAAGGCAAATTAATAACATTGCGTTTATCCCATCAAGGAGGCCAAAATCGACAAAATATCAAGAGACAACTTTTAATCGGCATTAAACTGCTTATAGAATTTGGCTAACAAGAGAAAAAAGTCAGTGGCGTACATGCTTTTTTTACAAAAAATATTTCAATGAAACTCATATGCACGTCCCTGGTGAATATGTCGATACTTTTTTAGCTTTAAAATATGTCGCATTTATAGTAACTTTTATTTAAGAAAATTATATAATCGGAAAAATATTAAAACTTAAACCCCTGTAACTACAAAACAAAGCAGAATCGGACCTATGTTGATATGAAAAATTAATCTTATTTTTACGTGAGGAATCTGTGCCCCACAAGAGATGGCACATGTTTTTTGAAACACCCTGTATATTAGTTTGGTATATGGTATGTACGGGTATGTAACTGTAGCTCTAATAAAAAAAGGGAAAATATTTTAAGTTCTACAGGATGGCTCAAAAAAGTGTGAGGGATCGGGATGACTTTTTTTAAATGGAACACCCTTATATGATTGCATTTTTGGCTTTCTTTCTGATTACATAATCCTAAAATATTAAAATATGTTTTGATAGTTTTAGAGATAATAATAAATAAATACATAAAAATATATTTGTTGCCTTTTGGGAGTCTTGATCTATCTATGACACTGTATGTTATTATTTATTAAAAAATGGTCAATATTTCCTGTTCTATATTGAGCTCTGTTTGAATGTGTGAAATCAAATGGTATGACATTTGTCTTTGATTTCAAAGTAAATTTTATCAATTATACAATCATTTAACGATATGAAAACTAGCATACATAAAGGTTATTGTGATTATCTGTAATAACAGTAATACAAATAACAAATATATCTTTATAATAACATAATCGAAACCGTGTAATTTAAATTCAAACTAATAAGATTGTTTTATATGGTCCGAAGGCTATAGCCATGGAGGAGCCAATAAGGTTAGCGCTAGTGAAAATGGCCATTTGTAGTTATTGACCGCATGAGTGAAATGATACACGCAGAGGCTGTCGACCGTATCGATGACATTCGAATAAAAAGTAACATCACAAACATCATTGATTGATAAAAAATATTTTTTTTTCAAACATCACAAAAGTATTAGTTGTTGCGACGTGATTGACAATATCAAAAAGTCATTTTAACGCCTAGGCACAAAAGTAAAGCATTCTTGCACCATGTTTACGCCTGAGCACAAAAGTACGAAAATATATTATTATGCTGACATGAAGTATACAATTCAACTGGTGTAACCATAGTTTCTCGATATATAGTTACTTACAAGGTATTACTTTTAAATCTTTTTATCTGTAACGTTTGAAATTGTTTAAAAAATTATTTGTAGCTTTTGGAAAAAAGCCTCGCCACAAAAGGTATATCATTTTTATTCCTAATAAAACTAAAAATATACTATTTTCAAACGTTACAAAAGTATTAATTTGTGCGACGTTATTGGCAATATAAACAGGTCATTTTAACGCCTAGGATTTCTTCTTCTGTGGCCTAGGCATAAAAGTAAATATCTTTTACGCCTAAGCACAAAAGTACAAACATATATTAAACTGACATTTTTCTTTATGTATTTTTTACAGACGTACACTGGATCGATTTTGGTTGCCGTCAATCCCTACCAGATTTTACCAATATACACTGCCGAGCAAATCAAGCTTTACAAAGAGAGGAAAATAGGAGAATTACCACCTCATATTTTTGCAATTGGTGATAATTCATATGGTAATATGAGAAGGTAAGGCCCAAAACATATTAGCTACTACAAGGCTACTACCAAACAATCGAAAAAATCGGCGTCAAAGAAGGCTGTGGAATGACAATCTATAATAATTTTGACGAGGACAATCTTTAGACGTCATTTACTTACTATAAATTGACATATAACTTGTCAAAAATTCTTTCTATTCTTGTTTGCGGTTGTTTTTATCCGCTATAGCAGTGTTCCAATCATTCCAATCTAAACTTGTTTCCTTTATCTATGATGACATTACATGAAATTAAATTTCAAATTAGCAATTATTATCTGATCATGATAGGTGATGGTAATCTGCTAAAGTTTATTAAAAGACAAATCTATTGACAAATATACAGGATTTCCCATCTAATCAAACAGCCAAAAAATCATAAATATGTTTTTACGTAAAAGAGGGTTTAAAATTTTACAGAGACACCTATCTCCATAAATAAATAGCAAATAGAAGAATCATAGGTGTACAAATTATGATGTTTATATGACAAGTTACAAGCAACTCTTGTTATATGTGGGTGAAAGTAGACATAATTCTAAAATATAGTACATTCTTGATAAGGAAAGTTGTTACAAATGTTAAGGCAGTTTAATATATTCATAATAGTTATGTTCTTTGTTTTATGGTAAATAATCAAGTACCAATTATTAATAACCTTGTTGGTATCATAGGGAAAAAAATGCTGTTATGTAGCAATTTATATTTATATTTGTATTTTGCCGGTATTTAAAAGCTAAAACTTATGTATATGTCATTCAGAGTAATAAAAAGTGAGAATTATGGAAAATAATACATATTATTATGACAATGTAATTCCAACGCACGATCGCCTTAGAAAATTATTATTATTGTTGTGTATAAAATTAATGACAGCCGATATATTTCTTTTAAAGCTGATTCTAAAAGAAATCCTACAAACATTTACTGTAGTTCTGAGTCAGAACCAGAGATGGGCAAACACCCGGTATATTAAAATTTGGGTAAATACCCGATATTTTGCATACGGTATATACCCATTGGGTAAATACATTGAATTTCGGTAAATACTATACCGGGTGCGTCTAGAAAGTGACCATCCCCTATAACTTTTTTATTTTTTCAGATAAAAAAAACGAGACTTGGTACGTTAGTATATGACATAAATTAGGTTTGATTGACGTATTCAATTGTTTTTGGTCACTTCCTGTTTTACTGGAAATGACTACACCTTTTGATTTTTAAATGGCATCCTCGGTATATTTCTATTTTATTCGATAGAAAACTGACACTTTGAATAAAATGACATATCATATGTCAACTTTTGACATTTTCGCTTAAAAAATCGTATTTTAAATTTTTATCTAGTGTTGTTAAAAACACTAATTTTTAACCAAGAAACCTTGGAAAATAATTTTGATCGTCTAATGTTTTTCGTGTCCTCTCTTGGCCGGTTAAAAGATGCCCAAATCGTATTTTTCATAATATCTCAATTTTTTTCAAATGGAACAAGGGTGGCTTATTAGCATATTTGGAAAAAACATTTTTTACGAATAATTTGATACCACACACTTGTTATTTCGAGTCAAATTGTCGTTATGAACCGCATGTTACAATTTCAAATAAACCATATGTGAAAAGGTCAAAAGTTGACATATCATTCTACTAAGAGTGTTGTTTTTTATCAAATAAAGTAGAACTATACCGAGGGTTAGGTGCAATAGGATATATTAGGTGAATAATCGAATTTTACAAGGAGATTTCCTTACGAAATATACTCTAAATGGGTATATACCCTACACCTTTGGGGTATATACCAGGTAGGTATATACCCATTGGGTATTTACCCAACGTCCATCACTGATCAGAACTATAGTAAATTTTTGTCATAACTGACCGTCAGGGTTTAAATATTAAGTTTAGTTATTACGACCCCTATTTATAATAATATTTCAATGTATGGCCTTAGAAATATATTTTTTTTATTTTTATCTCTCTCTATATATTCAAATATTTATTTTTAGTCTCTTTATTGTTTTTTATGTTCATTTTTTATCTTTGGTTTTATTTTTAGATATTTTTTTTTATTATTTTCAATGTATGTCTGTAAAAGCCGACTTTTTATTATATTGCTGGAAGAACGTGGTGTAATTAAATTTTATAATCTACATGTTTTATTTAATTTTTAATTCCTCTTCTGTTTTATTTCTATTCCAGATATGGTCAAGATCAGTGTATAGTAATATCTGGGGAATCGGGAGCTGGCAAAACAGAAAGTACAAAATTAATTTTACAATATTTAGCGGCTATTAGCGGGAAGCACTCTTGGATCGAACAGCAAATTCTGGAAGCCAACCCTATATTAGAAGCTTTTGGTAAATTTACTTAGACCTAGAAGGGCTAGAAATAAATAACTAACGTCTCAACTAAAGCTTGATTTTCGTGCATCCGTTATCCGACGATACGATGACACGATATTAATTTTATTGGTTGAATTTAAAGACTTTGATTGGTTAGAAAATTATGCATTTTTTGAATTTACTGCATTTTCATGCCTCCGTTCATCGGATGTACGATTTGCTAGCGATTGATGTCATTTTATATTTTCATTTCCATAACGATTTCGCTGTTTTACTAATAGTCTAAGAGCTAGCAACGTTTTCGAGAGAGAATTTTAAAAAAGCTGGTTCTTTTTGCAACATATCTTTTGTTATGCTCTCCTGAACACAGTGTGGACCGTGTGGCTGCCGGTAGACATTGCGTTCACATCATATCTGTATTCAACATCTGTTCACTACTGCCCATCACAAATACGCCCTGTATTTCAGGAACTAAGGAGGCTAGGACAAACCTATGTGTAGCATATTTAGTTTCATAAAAAAGTAGCACAGTAATGTGAAAATCGCATCATTATATCTCTACTCATTAACGAGAAATCCCATAAAACACATGAAAATGGGATATCCTGTACAGATGTTATGCGCAGTTGTGAACCGCAGTAGTTTATCGGCAGCCAGACGGCATGTACTATTTTTATTTTCATTAAAGTGAGATTAAATTTGTCAAAAAAGTGTCAAAACGTCCATTATCGTACGATCAATGGAGCTCTTTCTCCGTTGACGGGCTGGAGTAAAAAATTTACGGATGAAAAGTGGCGCGAAAACTCTAGCCACCATCGTATCAACGAATGACGGACGCATCAAAATCAAGCTTAACGCTGTAAATGTAAAAAAATGTAAATTTTTTAATATTTCTTGCAAACAATGTTGAAAATTCCTAACCCATCTTTTTCTGCTACAGGTAACGCAAAAACTGTAAGAAACGATAACAGCTCGAGGTTCGGCAAGTACATAGACATACATTTTAATGCAAACGGGGTCATAGAAGGTGCTAAAATCGAACAATATCTACTGGAGAAGAGTAGGATTGTGTCGCAGAATCCGGAGGAGAGGAACTATCACATATTCTATTGTTTATTAGCAGGTTTAGGAAAGGATGAAAAGAGGAAATTGGAACTCGGCGATGCTAGTCAATTTAGATATTTAACTGGGGTGAGTTAACTCTGTGAATTATATTTCATTGAAACAGATGAATTGAACGGGTTATTGTAATAAATATTGATACTGATAAGTAGTGATGTGTCGGTATTTGAGTAACGCGATTTTGGAGCGGTATTTTTTTGTAACGTCGTGTCGCGCTCCACAACGAATCAGGAACCTGTTACTGAAGAACGACGATCATAATGACGACAAAATTATAAATTATTTATAATTTGTAAATAAATTATTTATAATCGCACTTGAAGTTAGCTCGAACCGTAGTAATCGCATAGCGACGTGTTTAGCTCCAGCCGTCGCGATTTCGTCGGTCGCCAACATTAGTATCTGGAACTGGTATGTCCGTAGCGCCGCGCGATCTCGATCGGGACGTGTTCGCTCAAGCCATCGCGCTCCTAGAGTTATAGTTCCCTGTCGCGAACAGAAGTAACTGCTGTAACTGGGCATCGACGCTCGACCTCGGCGGCCACAAGGCGGCGACCTACTTCGCTCCAGCCGTCGCGCTCTTAGAGTTTTAGTTCCCTGTCGCGAACAGAAGTAACTGCTGTGACTGATTATCGACGCTCGACCTCGGCGGCCACGTACTTCGTTCCAGCAGTCGCTGGAGCGCTTCTAGGGCTTCGGTTTTGCCTGTCGCGATTTGGTCCGGTACTATTGGCGTTGGTGCTCCCGTCGCTACGTTACTTTCGAAATAGCAATTTTTGGTATGTACTAGGCATGGTATAAAATAGTGTTGTTTGAAAGATGAAACGCAAAAGCAAATAAAATAAAATAAAAATATTTTATTTGCTTTTATACATTTATATAAGTTTTATTGTTTATATCTATTTTTAAGGTTAGGTTAGACCAATAAACAATTTTTTTTGACAGTGCTTTGGACTTTGTTCTTAATTTTAACATTAAATATATTATATTACAATACACATAAATATGAGCCGTTCATTTTATTTAAACGAAAATTGATAAAGAAAAGAAAATAACAAGGAATGTCATCGTTTTTCTAAAAATGAGATAAGTTGGCTATACACAATTATAAACTCGATATTCGGAAAATGAGTGGCGGATAAAAGTTACATTAATCTACAAATATAGATAAGTTAGATATATTTTAGCGAGGACCGCAACACTTTGGAAGTCGGAACCTCGGTTACAAAATCGCGGTATTTTTCTGGAACGGTCGCTATTGTAACGCGACTCATGTGGAACCGGTATTCCCATCACTACTGATAAGCCACTCAACTATAAATCAGTTTTATTAACTAGTAACTAGTGTTTTTCTTGCCTTTTATCCTTCAAATTTATATTTATTAATATTTAAATTTACACATTTTTTCAAGATTGCGAAGTCTAATAATTCAGAATTATGGATTTGTGGCATATCATGTCATTACAATAAGCCCTTCAATTTTAAGACTGAAAGTTTAAGCCCAGATATTGGTTTAAATGAAATAAATCTCAGAAAAAAACTCCAAAAAAATATTTAATAATTAATTATTAATTAATCACACATGTTTTATGATTGAAAAAGAAAACTGCATTATAGTGACCTTTGGAGCAATAATTACTTTTTTGATGCCGTTTTTTTCCCAAACGTATGGCATTACAGTAACGGTAATTATAATAAATGATTTATTATATTTTAGGGTGGGAGTATTACTTGCGAAGGTAGGGATGACAATGCCGAATTCGCAGATATTAGAAGTGCAATGAAAGTATTATTATTTTCCGATCAAGAGATCTGGGAAATAATAAAACTACTAGCGGCTTTACTACATATAGGCAATATAAAATATAAAGCTACTATCGTTGATAATTTGGACGCCACAGAGATTCCTGATCCAACGAATGTTCAAAGGGTCGCAAATTTATTAGGTATGCTAAATAATAAACTTTTTTATTATGCGTGGTGCGTGGCACATTCACAATTTTGTGAATGCAACTTACCAATGAATTTTTAAATTATTTTTTATATCACTACTACTATTGGTTTCAGTTTTTGTTATATTCAAAACACACATTTACAAAATATACATTACATATATTTACAAAATTTTCTCAACGATTACATACCGTGCTGGCAACTCTTATTTTTGCTTCGGTATTTACATGTGTGGAAGTAAATCGCATAGGGATCTTATTAAGTCGGAGTGAGAGAAATGCGACGGAGTGCTGTTGCGGCGCTGCCACATTTCCCTGACATGCCTTTTCGTATCAAGTAAAGTAAAATCACGATCGCAAACCGCTTATTTTTAAAATACTTTTTTTCGAAAACAACTGGATAAAATCATTAGATATGTTTCTGAGCATCCGAAATGGATATCGTTATAAGGATATCGTTAGGGTGTTCATTTTTTTTATAACCAGAAAATTTCAGTAATGGCGGTAATTTATAAACTCAACTTTTAAACACATAATACGCGATAACTCAGGAACCACTTTAGATATTGAAATTTCTTTTATTTTGAAGTTCGGATCTTTTACATGTTTAAATAAGAAAAATTCAATAGCATTGTTTTTTTCCATTCAAAAATTTTAAAAACCCCGTCCATTTACTTTTAGTGCATAGCAATTTTCAGCAGTCGTGTAACTTTTTTATTTATAAAGATTTTTACATACTGTCTCCGAAGAAAATAAAGCAGAAATATTAAGAAAGTTTTTGAAAAATAAAATACAATCAATTGTTTCTAATGGATTTTGAGATATAGATTTTTGAATTCAGAGTTCTAATAGCGCGACCACTGTCGAACACCAACTCAATTCCACTTATTTTTACTAAAATTGCAAGTGTTTTTAACTTGCACTTAAAAATTTACAAGATATAGGGAAAATTACGACTCGCTTATCCTTTTCTACGTCTCTTAGCAATGTGCACAGTTTCTTGGTTTATTTTATATGTTTAGCAACTTTTTTACTGTTCTCTCTTTGTTCAGTACATTATAAACGCCTTGTACTCTTCTTACATACGGAAATCTCGACCCAAAACTAACATTTACCGGCCCTTAGTATAACAACAAATATTTTACTGATAACCCATATGCTCTCTGGTGAATGTGTCGATACTTTTTTAGCATTAAAATATGTAGCACTTATAGTAAACTTATACCCTCAAAACTTCATTCGTATCGGCTAAAAGCACTTGGAAGAAAGTATATAATAAATCGAAAAAAAACTATTAAAATGAAGACTTTAACCCTCTGTATAGCTACGAAACAAAGTAGAATCGGACCTGTAGTGATATAAAAATAAAACTTATTTTTATGTGAGGAATCCCTACGAGAGATGGGACCTGTTTTTTACCACCCTGTATTATTGTTACAATGTGTTATACAAACAGTGATCCCCATCAAGCGATAGTCTTATTCTTTCCGTAATGAGTAATATTGGCAACAACAGATTTATTCATTATTGCAGAATTTTCTGCATTAGTACATACTTCTGCATCCGTTGTTGGGTCATCAAACTTAACGTCTGTATGACTTTATTCAATCACATTTTAGGTGTTCCTGTTCAGCCACTAATCAACGCTTTAACAAGGAAAACCTTATTTGCCCATGGCGAAACCGTCGTATCTACGCTATCCCGAGACCAAAGCGTAGACGTCAGAGACGCGTTCGTCAAAGGCATCTACGGCAGACTTTTCGTATTCATCGTAAAGAAAATTAACTCCGCAATATACCGACCCAAAGAACGACAAAGGAGCTCCATAGGCGTACTAGATATATTCGGTTTTGAGAACTTCAACCATAACAGTTTCGAGCAATTCTGCATCAACTACGCCAACGAAAACCTTCAACAGTTCTTCGTCAGGCATATTTTCAAATTAGAACAGGAAGAATACAATTTGGAAGGAATCAACTGGCAGCATATTGAATTCGTTGATAATCAGGATGCTTTAGATCTAATAGCTATCAAACAGCTAAACATCATGGCTTTGATTGATGAAGAAAGCAAGTTTCCTAAAGGTACGGATCACACTATGTTGGCGAAACTCCACAAACAACACGGGGCTCATAGAAATTATTTGAAACCGAAAAGTGACATTAATACGAGCTTTGGTTTAAATCACTTTGCCGGAATCGTGTTTTACGATACAAGAAGTTTTCTGGAAAAGAATCGCGATACGTTCAGCGCCGATCTTCTTCAACTCGTCACCATCAGCAATAACAATTTCCTTCAGCACCTTTTCCACGACGATATTGGAATGGGTTCGGAAACAAGAAAAAGAGCACCGACATTATCGACACAGTTTAAAAGATCTTTGGATTCCTTGATGAGGACTTTATCAAACTGCCAGCCGTTTTTTATCAGGTGTATCAAACCAAACGAATTGAAGAGACCGATGGTTTTTGACAGGACTCTCTGTTGTCGACAGTTGAGGTATTCTGGCATGATGGAAACTATTAGGATACGACGAGCTGGATATCCTATTAGGCATACTTTTGGAGAGTTCGTTGAAAGATATAGGTTCCTTATATCGGGAGTTCCTCCAGCACACAAGGCTGATTGTAGAATAGCTACTTCTCGAATATGTCAAATAGTTTTAGGTAAGTACATTAATGTTAATACTTTTATTAGTGTTTAAACTGTGTATTATAAAATTTCTAAGTATACCTATGTGGCGGATTCATCTCTCCAAAAATGTCTTATATGGGTATTTCGCCACTGCAAGAAAATCTACAAAATAAAATAGTTATTTTTTGTAAACACTGCTGGCGTTAATTCAACGGATACTAATTGTCAGCAGTGGTCTACCAATAAACAAATTCGCCTAACGGACAAAAAATGCTTAACGTTTCGAAAAGTTTATCTCTTTCCGTCGTCAGAAGCAAAAGAATAATACAAAGAACAAAGAAATAAACTATTTAAAAAATTTAAATGCAACTATTCGAAAACCCTTTAGTTTTTTTTTAAACAGATACGTCTACAAAAACCGTTGACGTTCTGTTAAAATGACAGTATATCAAGTTAAACTTCAAAATTAACAATTACTACCTGATAACAATTACTTAATAAGGTAAAACCAAAAAGCTTCAAACTTTCTGTATTATTATTTTTAATTTTAAAGTATGTTTATTTCAGTGGCGGCTCGTCAGGGTAGGCAAGGTAGGCGGCGCCTACCCTAAAATTTTGGCAGAATTTAAGCGGTTTATTACATTACATTATTTACTATTAATGTTGCCAGTACATATAAATACTGTTAATACACGGAAGTGTGTTTTAATAATCAATATTATTTTAATATTTATGGTCTAAAATACCTGTTCACCTGCATATTTTTGAGAAAAACCCTGTTTTCTGATTGGTATCAGCAAAACGCCCACTAGCGGACATTTTTCGAACTTGAAAATAATTTCCAGCGATTTCTCTTGGTCGATTTACTTATAAGAATTTTTTTCCCAAATTTATACGATAAGTAGTTTCTGAGATACAGCCGGCGTCCATTCTTAATTGGCCACCCGGTACTTGTACATTATGTCATTACGTTGAATGCTGTTATTTTTGCTTTAGTTTTGTCCTAAATATTCTTGAGCTATGTTTTTAACCCAGAGATAACATATATTTACAAACTGGGTTAGGGTATTATGTAAATTAAGGGGGGGGGGGGGCAAATAGACGCAACTAAAATTTTGTCGCCTACCCATTCACAAGGGTCACCAGCCGCCACTGGTTTATTTATGTAATGTTCTTTAAAATCAAAGAAGCGATTGCCATAACATTACTAACATCTACAGATGCGTGAGCAATACATTTAGTTTTAATAGATTGTATAAAAAAAGTCTTTTTTATTTTTATTTTAGAGGCTATCGCTTCTTTCATTATAATTTTGGCGTTGTTAAAATCTATTCTGTGCTCTGTGTCCCGTGAATGCTGACAAATCTTAGATTTGTGAAAGTCGCCCTTTCTTAAATAATCTTTATGTTCTTTAATTCGAACACTTAAGGGTCTAGATGTTTCACCAATATATAATTTATTGCATTCACATGGGAATTTGTATATTACATTTTTTGTTTGTTGTTCAGTATTCATTGGTTTAGTGTTGTGTGTTTTCTTATAGGAAGATCTGATTATCAGTTAGGAAACACCAAAGTTTTTCTCAAAGACGCTCACGATCTGTTTCTCGAACAAGAACGAGACAGAGTACTAACAAAGAAAATTCTCATCATACAAAGAAACATTAAAGGATGGGTTTATAGAAGACGATTCTTGAGATTAAGGGCTGCTACCGTAATAATACAAAAATACTGGAAGGGCTACGTTCAGAGACAGAGATATAAGAGGATGAGAGTTGGTTATATGAGATTGCAGGCTCTCATCAGAGCTAGAGTGTTGTCTCATAGGTTCAGGCATCTTCGGGGTCACATTGTTGGTCTGCAGGTATAAAAATATTTAAATTTTTAAATAATAATGTCGATTTATTTGAATCTTGTATAATTTATAGGCTCATGCAAGAGGGTATCTAGTTCGTAGAGAATATGGTCATAAGATGTGGGCTATTATTAAGATACAGTCAAACGTGCGACGAATGATAGCTCAAAGGAAGTACAAGAAACTGAAATTTGAGCATAAGAAGCATGTGGAAGCGTTGAAATTGAAGCAAAAGGAAGAAAGGCAACTTAAGGATGCTGGAAATAAAAGGGCGAAGGAAATTGCTGAACAGAATTACAGGTATGTTGAAATAATGTTAAAATAATTTTACTAACATATCCTAGATTGGTGGGAGGACAGGTTTAAGAGATTAATGTAATTTTATTTGCTCAAATCAAATCTACAAATGAAAATACTCTTAAAATAGAATCAATTATTGCTCTTTTATTTCAGTTCGAATTGTTCTAGATTTTATACAAAGAAAGACATAGGTAACTAATTTATTACGCAAGTATATTGTTTCATTTAAAGTATGTTTCATAAACTAACACAAATTATAATCTACTTTTGAACTAAAATGACAGACTCACTATCAAGTATTTTCCCCTTGGACAAACATTACCATAAATATGTAAAAAAATTATAACATTGATATCATAAACTGAAATATTATGCATTTGTATGGTATTTTAATCCCATATAATCGGAGTCTACATACAAAAAAAATATTCAGATTTTAGGAATAGTATTGTATTTTTCAGTGAACTTTATGAAATATTCAGTATAATTGTTAACGGAGCCATCAGGTATATTTCTGATTTTAACCAACCGATATAATTTTGCTAATTTATTATATTGTTTAATTTAAAGTCTGTCAAAAATAAGAGAAACTATAATATACTTTTGAATTAAAATGGCAGACAACTGTCGCTGTCAAGTATTTTCTTGTTGGACAGACTTTACCATAATTATGTAAATATATTTTTATAACCTGCGTCTCATAAACTGAAATATTATGCGTTTGTGTTGCATAACACAAACGCATAATATTATTAAAAAAATTAATTCCATCAAAGTCTATATGCAAAAAAAAATATTAGAACTGAAATTTTAGCAGCAGTATTGTATTTTCTACTAATTTTTTTAAAAATCTTGAATATAAATGTTAGTAGACCCGTTAGATATAGTTAGTTATAATTTCTTGAATTTGATGTGCCGTAAATTAAGTTTGATACTCACGATACTCTTAGTCTAAGAGCTAGCAACGTTCTCGAGAAAGTATTTTAAGACGTCTGGCTCTTTGATATATCTTTTACTATGCTCTCTGGAACAGCATGCGGCCCGTCTGACTGCCGATACCCGTTGCGTTCACTACTGCGCATCGGAAGAAGATCCTATATTTTTTATTAATTTAGTCCTATAAATTCTAGTATTGAATATAAATCGTACATGTCTCCATAGCGCAGTGGTAGAGTTTCCTATCACGAACCGATGATTCAGAGTTCAAATCCGGGTCAGGTCAAAGACTTTTTTATTTTATTTTCGTTTATATTCTGATAGTAAAGTTTTAAATAATTCTGGTAATTAAATAAAAACAAATATTTAATACTTTACTATCAGAATATAAACGAAAATAAAATAAAAAAGTCTTTGCCCCGACCTGGATTCTAACTCTGAATCATCGGTTCGTGGTCTCTACGCCCTACGCTATGGAGACATGTTCGATTTATATTCAATACTAGAATTTAAAGGATTAATAAAAATATAGGATCTTCTTCATTTACCGGCAGTCAGACGGGCATGCTGTTCTAGAGAGCATAGTAAAAGATATATCAAAGAGCCAGACGTCTTAAAATACTTGTTTTTCCGACGTTGCTAGCTCTCGTACTATCTTCTCTGTACTGAATTGAACTGATTGATTTGGAGAGTGAGTGCTATAACTGGTCTTGGGAATAATCGGTTGATTTCAATCTCGAGTATTGGTCGTCGAGGATTTCAATAATCGGATATTCATCCGAAGAATTCTTGGTCATAATTTTCTTTGTTTACATAATATTTTAAAACATGAACTACTCCAAGGCCTGTATATCTCGATTAATACCTGAATAATGCTCAGTGCCTTTTTGCTTGTTGTTTGTTAACACACTGGTACCTGAATGACCTAGGTTGTGCCAAACTTTTCATAGGTTGCGCTTAATAACGTATTTATTTTGTTTAACTCTGATTCTAAGATTTATCTGGCAACCTTTCTGGCCAAGTTTGAAAAATTCGGAGAATTACTTGTTTTTATTTGAAACTATTTCAGCATAAATCCTAAATCGTATCCTCCTTGTATTTTATCCTAAATCCTTGTATTCTCGATTCTCGTGAGCACGGTATGCCACATTATATACGGAGTAGTATACCGAAAAAAGTGGCTCACTCTTATAACTTTTTTATTTTTCACTGGAAATGACTACAACTTTTTATTTTTAGATGTTTTTTAAATGACCTCGGTATATTTCTACTTTATTCAGTAGAAAATGACACCACTCCGAATAGAATGACATATCACATGTCAACTTTTGACATTTTTGTTTTAAAAAATCGTATTTGAAATTTCAATCTAGAGTACCATGGCTGTGTTAAAAACACCATTTTTTAATCAAGGAGCCTTGGAAAAATAGTTTTGATCGCTAATGTTTTCCGTGTCTTGTCCTGGCCGGTTAAAAGATGCATAAATCGTATTTTTAATCATATCTCGATTTTTTCAAATGGAACAAAGATGGTTCATTAGCATATTTGGAAAAAGGATTTTTTACGAATAATTTGGTACCACACACTTGGTATATCGCGTCAAATTGTCGTTATGAATCGCATGTTACAATTTTAAATAAATCATATGCAAAAATGTCAAAAGTTGACATATGATATGTCATTCTATTCAGAGTGTCATTTTCTATCGAATAAAGTAAAAATATCCCAAGGGTGCCATTTAAAAATCAAAAGTTGTAGTCACTTCCGGTGAAACAAAAAGGACCAAAAACAATTGAATACGTCAATTAATCCTAATTTATGGCATATACTAACATACCAAATCTCGTTTTTTTATCTCAAAAAATAAAAAAGTTATAGGGGTAAGCCACTTTTGAGACGCACCCGGTATACATAAGGAGGATTTGAATACTCGAATTTATTATCAAGTATTTTTCTCTCCATTTGATCCCATTACTAGTTAAAACTAGGAAGACACACAATCATTTTTATTCCAAATATTACGACATCTTTTTCAATTACTTCTACTAAACCAATTTTTATGAAACACTAATAGTCTAAGAGCTAGCAACGTTTTCGAGAAAGTATTTTAAGAAAACTGGCTAGAAAGCTCTGAGCTTGGCTCGCATTTTAAGAAAGGACTAATATAGGATCTTCTTTCAATGCGCAGTAGGGAACACAACGTTTACCGGCAGCCAGACGGGCCGCATGCTGTTCCAGAGAGCATAGTAAACGATATATTAAAGAGCCAGCTTTCTTAAAATACATATTTTCCCGACGTTGCTAGCTCTCGTACTATAAGTATCAGTGACAATACAACAATATGAACATTTAAACCATTTACAATCCCTCCAAGATATCTTTTTTATTTTTATTTATTTACTTTAGAGAACGAATATACGAACTGGAAAGAAAAGAAATGGAACTGGAACTAGAAGAACGAAAACGAGTGGAGATAAAGAAGAACCTGATCAACGACGCTGCGAGAAAAGCCGACGAACCCGTTGACGATTCCAAATTGGTAGAAGCCATGTTCGACTTCCTGCCCGACAGTTCCAGCGAGGCTCCCGGTCCAGGCAGGGAAACGTCAGTCTTTAACGATTTACCGACCCAAACGAATGAAAATGAAATCATTAGTCCTATACAGACCGTTTCTGATGATGAAGAGGATCTGAGCGAATTCAAGTTTCAGAAATTCGCGGCTACTTATTTCCAGGGCAATATGGGACATCAATATTCTCGAAAGCCGCTTAAACATCCATTGTTGCCACTTCATACGCAAGGAGATCAGTTGGTAAGATGATAATTCTCTAGATAGATATACCATAAGCTCGTATTTATAGACTCGGTGCATTTCCGATTTTTACAGCGCTCTGTACGGCAGAACTGTCGGACTAAATTTATTTCACGCCGTCCCAGTTACTGTTCATGTTGATCGCATTGAAATAGTGGCTATGTCATAATATTTAATTATTTTGGTTTTTGCTAGTGCAGGTATTGAAACTATAAAAGTCTCAGGTACGAAGTTTTTGTGATAAAACGCTGGTTCGGGTAGTAAAAATTAAGTGAAAAAGAACGCGAACGCGAAATCGTTGTGTTGTAATAATTTCAAATAATAATAAATTTGCTAAAAAAATTATTTATGTGGTATTTATGGTATAATATGGTATTTTACGGGATTCTCTGATGCACCAAGTCTATAGTATATTCTATGGTAAATATAAGATCTAGTATCTTTAAGAAAAAAACATTCCAAATTATAAAATAACGATTCGAACTAGATATTAATCATTTTACCACACTAAAAAAACATTTAAGTAAATAATTTTTTTAAAAAGTAGTTCCTTTTTGTTATCTGACAAGCGTTAAGATTGATTTTCATGCATCCGTTATCCGACGATATGATGATACGATATTAATTTTATTGGTTGAATTTAAATACTTCGATTGATTAGAAACGGTTAACCAATCAAAGCCTTTAAATTCAATCAATAAAATTAATATCGTATCATCGTATCGTCGGACAACGAATGCATGAAAATCAAGCTTTAAATGTTACATGACATTAAAATTAATTCAAACTTTTATTATTTATTTATCATTGGATGAACAACAAATTCTTTACAAACCGATAACGGATGTTTTGATCACTGTAATCTAACCTTACTTTCTTGTTGGCAAATTTAGGACATTTATCTTTATCAGGCAGGGGTTTCTCCTCCTAGCTCTATTATTCTCTTTGTAGTATATACCGGGTGCGTCTCAAAAGTGGCTCATTCTTATAACTTTTATTTTTTTCAGATCATAAAACGAGATTTGATGTGTTAGTATATGACATGAAATAGGATTGATTGACGTATTCAATTGGTTTTGATCACTTCCTGTTTCACCGGAAATGACTACAACTTTTGATTTTTAAATGGCACCATCGGTATTTTTTTACTTTATTCGAAAAAAAATGACATTTAGAATATAATGCCATATCATATATGTCAACTTTTGACGTTCTCTCTTAATAAAAAGTATTTTAAATGCCATGGCTGTATTAAAATAAATATAAATTAAAATAATAAAATATTAAAATAATAAACCAAACCAAACACTAATTCTTAATCAAAGTCTTTGGATTCAATCAATAAATATCACTAGGAAGTTACCCTTAAGGCGCCAAGCGCATACCGTGGTATTAATGACTATCTTAAATGTACTCGACTTCCTTCATTACTTCTTTATTAAGACCAACTTTATAATTGTTTTTATTTCAGGCTGCTCAAGCACTTTGGGTGACCATACTCCGGTTTACCGGAGACCTACCAGAACCTCGCTATCATACCATGGACAGAGACACTACTTCTGTCATGTCTAAAGTGACGGCAACGTTGGGTAGAAATTTCATAAAAAGCAAAGAATTCCAGGAAGCTCAATTGATGGGTCTTGACACGGACTCGTTTTTGAAACAGAAACCTAGGTATAGTCTGTGAAACGAATAACTCTATAGTTTAATTTTATTAGGTTAGCAACTTGCGGCCATTCTGACGCAATGCCGTCTCTAATAGAACAGCCTCGAAGCGAGATTTATGACGTCACGCTAGTTAGATACTACGGATTAATAAATATGTTGTAGAATATATGGAAAACATAATAATTCCTCGTATTTTTGGTTTGTATTTTAAAAATGATATAGTTTACATGAAATATACATAATATACAGTTAATAAATACAATATATATACCTATTTATAGTAATAAATAACTTTCGCAAATAAACCAAATAAACTATGAACTATACAAATGCAGCAAATGTTTTACAATATACAAATAATGAATAGATACATAAGATAATGGGTAAAATGTAAAATATATTTTAAATTTTGGGGTTTGAAAATCGATCTAATTTAACAAACAACACATTCAATATCTACTACTTACTATGGCTGAAATCGTATTCCATAGTCAATGTAGATAGTTTTAGTGTTAAGAATAATAATTTTAAAAAATACGTGGTCATCTTTTGACAAGTTTATATTAGTTTATTAATTGCAGTAAACATTATGTGGTGTGAATATTTTATATGTAATTTTTTGGATTATATTCGACACTATTTTTTTCATATGACACAACACTGATGAAGGCTATGATGTTAGCCGAAACGTTTTTTTAACCAAAAAAATGAAAAAAACAAATGAAAACTTAATCAGCGTTTTTCCCGAACCTAAATCCCAAGAAAATAAAAAATTTTAGAATAATTTTACATATAAAATGACAGCGATCTTTATTTCATAGCCATCGCTGCAGCCTTTTTTCTATGATATTGTATTATTTGCAAATATAATTTTTCGAATATTGATACTTGCAAAATATACATATACATTTTGTGAATGCAAATAATAATACATCACTATTAGTAGATATTGAATGTTTTTTGTTAAATTAGATCGATTTTCAAACCCCAAAATTTAAAATATATTTTACATTTTACCCATTATCTGATGTATCAATTCATTATTTGTATATTGTAAAACATTTGCTGCATTTGTATGGTTCATAATTTATTTGCCAAAGTTATTTATTACTATAAATAGGTATATATATATATTGTATTTATTAACTGTATATTATGTATATTTCATGTAAACTATATCATTTTTAAAATACAAACCAAAAATACGAGGAATTATGTTTTCCATGTATTCTACAACATATTTATTAATCCGTAGTATCTAACTAGCGTGACGTCATAAATCTCGCTCCGAGGCTGTTCTATTAGAGACGGCATTGGTCTGATATTTAGAAATGTTAAAAGCTGATGACATTTTACTTTTGACAATTGTGTTGATTTTTGTAAGAAGAGGAAGAACTGTCACTTGTTTTTGTTCCTTTTCTATTTCACGAAAGTAAAAAGAGTTACCTATCTGATTCGTTCAGGCACTCAATTTAAAGAATATCAGTAACTTTTTTGACAGAGGAATTTTATATTTACCATGTTGGTAAAAAATAACGGTCAAAATTCAAAGTTATTCATTTTATAGACTATATGACTAGTGACTGATTTCTTTTAAACTCGATTAATTATCAGATCAAGCAAAATATATTGGATTAATTTTTTTCTAAGACAAAATTATTTTTAGGTCAATCAGAAATAAACTGGTGTCATTAACATTGAAAAGAAAAAATAAACTTGGCGAAGATGTGAGAAGGAAACTGCAAGATGAAGAATATACGGCTGATAGTTACCAGTCTTGGTTGGAGTCCAGGCCGACCAGTAATCTGGAAAAGCTTCATTTTATTATCGGACACGGTATACTAAGAGCGGAATTGAGAGACGAGATTTATTGTCAGATTTGCAAACAGCTTTCGAACAATCCATCGAAATCTTCGCATGCAAGAGGTAAGTTTAACTTTTTTTTATGTATAATTGAGACTTACATCACTTTTTTGAGTATAGAATTATTATTATAGTTATATTATAGAGGAAAATCAATAAAAGCTAACGTGCACGTCATCAAAATATCTAACAAATGCAAGTCGCAATGTTGTCACTGTTACTGTTTTTTTACTTCGATTTTAGACAAGTAATAAAACTCACAATTGAGTCACTATTTTTCACTTCAATTTTAAACACAATATACAGTTTTTTATATCTACATTATTAAATACACAAAATTCTATTTAAATGAAGTTATTAGCAAGTTCTCTGAAGCCAATTTTTATTGATTTCTCTATATTAGATGAAGCTAGTTTATGATATTCTTTTACTTAACGTAAATAACCTATACATTTTAATATAACATGCTTATCATAAACTGAAATATTATGCATAACTCCAACAAAGTTTATAGGCTTGGTGCATTTGAGTTGATTTCAACAAATTCCCACCACCGTGCTTCAACGGCAAAAATCAGAATTTATCAGTATTTATGTATATCACACCGCCGCGCCATCCCGATTACTGTTCATGTTGATCGCATTAAAATAATATTGAAATCGTGGCTTCGTGATAATTAAGTAATTTAGTTTTTTGCTAGTGCAGCAAACTTGCAAAAAAAATGTTAACGCGTAAAGGAGAGCGTAATTAGGGCGTTGTTGGGTGCAGTAACATTTAATAACTCAACTTTCCCGGATATTCAACTCTCACGAAACAACATTTTATACCTTCATAGTTTCTCACACGGCACCGATTCTGCTCAAAAGCAAAAATGGCTTTAAGCAGTTCGACGAAACACGTGAGTAAACAAAGTCCTCGTTACATAATCAAAAAATTAAAGAAACAATATACTATGAGAGGATAAAATATAATTTTCAATGGTATATTTTTTTAATCGACTAGTGATTAAAGGTTTTATGAACACCTTCAAAAATTATAATTATGTACCTTTAAAAAATTTGGTTATAGCCGAAATAACCCCAATTATGACCCCGCTTGCAAAACCGGTGATTAAAACTGTGCTCACTACCTTCCTCACTGCCGTAGTTGAAATCATCTAACAAGTTTTTTTAGCTGAAATAATTAGTTATAATACAAGTTAGACCTTAGAATAATTATATAATAAATTTTGCGTATACTCGCTATTTAAACCCGTGTATTTGTATATATCCTAGCTGTTTGCGATATTCTCCGATGGTGGTAGCACCGGCGGAGAATGCGCCAAGCCTATATGCAAAGAACTATGCAAATTTTATATTTTAGAAGAATAAAATTGCATTTTTCTCTAAACTCGATTGAAGTTTAGGCTCTGTCTATACTCGTACTATTTTATTTTTGTTAAAATCAAACAATTTTGACAGCTTTGAAGGATCGTGCTTAAGCAATTCTATGTTATTACAGGGTGGATCTTACTATCCCTCTGCGTCGGATGCTTCGCCCCGTCCGAAAAATTTGTCAACTACCTACGCGCCTTCATCAGAGAAGGTCCTCCCGGCTACGCGCCTTACTGCGAAGAACGCCTGAAACGAACCTTCAACAACGGCACCAGAAACCAACCGCCCAGCTGGCTGGAGCTCCAAGCGACCAAGTCGAAGAAACCCATCATGCTGCCCATAACCTTCATGGACGGGAACACCAAGACATTACTTGCCGACTCAGCTACAACGGCCAGAGAGTTATGCAACCAGTTGTCTGATAAAATCGGTTTGAAGGACCAGTTCGGGTTCTCCCTGTATATAGCGCTGTTCGATAAGGTGTCGTCGTTGGGTAGTGGAGGGGATCACGTGATGGACGCTATTTCGCAGTGCGAGCAGTACGCTAAAGAGCAAGGTGCGCAGGAGAGGAATGCGCCGTGGAGGTTGTTCTTTAGGAAGGAGATTTTTGCTCCGTGGCACGAGCCTACCGAGGACCAAGTGGCGACGAATTTGATCTATCAGCAGGTGGTGCGAGGAGTTAAATTTGGAGAATATAGGTATGTTTACTATACAGGGTGGTCCGAACTGTATTCCGGAAACTTCGGCAGCATATTCTGCAGATAAAAATAAGTCATAAAGTTCGTATAAATGTATGTCCTAAAATGTTTAGTTACGGAGATACAGGGTGTAGAAATTTCATTTTTATTTCGATTTTTTCCATACAAAAAAATTGGTTTTAATGCCAATATGACTCCTATTTGTAAGGGGCGCCACCTACATACGTTTTAACTGTTTCGAAGGGTACTAACTTTTCGTCTGTACCTGTATAAAACTATTGAGTGAAAAAATATACATTTCCATGACTTTTTACGTAAATAATGTCTCTTGGTAAAAGTTGCTGCAAGCAATCGTTCTCAAGATATTTAAAATGGAAATAGTCAATACATATCATTATTGACAAAAAATAAGCACGGTGTGTAGGTATTTGACTGAAATAATAAATTTGGGAAATTTTTATTTTTTTAAATTAATCATAATTTTTTCTGCGAAAAAATAATGATAGGACAGTTTATAACTATTTAGTCAACTTGTTTAATTTATGTCAACGATGATAGGTATTGATAATTTCGATTCCAAATATCTCAAGAACCATTACTCATAGCGATTTTTACCAAGAGACCTTTTTTACGTAAAAAACCTCGTAAATGTATATTTTTTACGCAGTAGATTTATACAGGTACGTACAAAAAGTTATTACCCTTCAAACTGATAAAAAAATGTAGGTAGTGCCCTCTACAAGTAGGTGTCACATTGATATCAAAATCAAATTTTTCATGTTAAAAAACTCCCAAACACCAATTTTCATCGAAATATCGACGTTAGTCCAGAAATTATTTGGAAAAAATCGAAATAAAAATGAAAATTCTACACCCTGTATCTCCGAAACGACGCATTTTAGGACACAACGAATACAGTTCGGACCACCCCGTATATTGTAAAATATAAAAACTAGAAAATATAATATGATTTTTTACACTGTTTGTCATTATGTCCATTCAAATATTATTAATATAAAGAATAATTAAAATGTTGAGTTGATACCTATACCGTTATCTTTATTCTCAACCAGGTGTGACAAGGAAGAAGACCTAGCTATGATAGCCGCCCAACAATACTACATAGAATACAACACCGACATGAACGTAGAAAGACTCCTCACCCTACTCCCCAACTACATCCCCGACTACTGCCTGACGGGAGTAGATAAAGCCGTCGACCGCTGGGCCGCCTTGGTCGTCCAGGCCTACAAGAAGAGCTACTACATCAAAGACAAAGTCAATACCCTCAGAGTGAAAGAAGACGTGGTCAGTTACGCGAAATTCAAGTGGCCTCTGCTCTTCTCCCGGTTCTACGAGGCGTACAGGAACTCAGGGCCGAACCTGCCCAAGAACGACGTTATTATAGCGGTGAATTGGACAGGGGTGTACGTGGTGGACGATCAAGAGCAGGTGCTTTTGGAGCTGTCGTTCCCAGAGATAACCACTGTGTCGAGTCAGAAGACGAACAAGGTGTTTACGCAGACGTTCAGTTTGAGTACGGTGAGGGGGGAGGAGTTTACGTTCCAGAGTCCTAACGCCGAGGATATTCGAGATTTAGTCGTGTATTTCTTAGGTAAGATAAAAATTACTTAAAATTCGTTATTTATACCGGGTGCGTCTCGAAAGTGGCCCACCGCTATAATTTTTTTTATTTTTTTAGATAAAAAAAACGGATTTGGTATGTTAGTATATGACATAAACTAGAATTGATTGACTATTCAATTGTTTTTGGTCACTTTCTGTTTCGCCGGAAATGACTACAACTTTTGATTTTTAAATGGCACCCTCGGTATTTTTTTTTGCTTTATTCGATAGAAAATAACACTCCGAATAGAATGACATATTATATGTCAACTTTTGACATTTTCGCTTGAAAAATCTTATTTTAAATTTCAATATAAAGTGCCATGGCTGTGTTAAAAACACTAATTTTTAATCAAGGAGCCTTGGAAAAATAGCTTTAATTGTCTAATGTTTTTAGTAGTTTGACCTGGTCGATTAAAAGATGCTCAAATCACATTTTTAATCATATCTCAATTTTTTGAAACGGAACAAAGGTGGCTCGTTAGCATATTTGGAAAAAGCTGTTTTTTTACGAATAATTTGGTACCACACACTACGTATTTCGAGTCAAATTGTCGTTATGAATCGTATGTTGCAATTTCAAATAAACCATATTTGAAAATGTCAAAAGTTGACATATGATATGTCATTCTGTTCAGAGATATAATGTAACAAAATACCGAGGGTGCCATTTAAAAGTCAAAAGTTGTCATTTCCGGTAAAATAGGAAGTAACCGAAAACAATTGAATACGTCAATCAATCCTAATTTATGTCATATACTAATATACCAAATCTTTATCTTTTATCTGCAAAAATAAAATAGTTATAGGGGTGAACCTCTTTTGAGACGCACCCGGTATACCGTATTTAAATACGCGGTAACCATACTTAACTAATTTATTAAGCAACTAAAACTTCAGAACAAAGATCACAGAGAATTACGATCACATACGTTCTCAAACCGGATATGCTGTAGATTTTCTATTATTAGTAGCCAATTTGAAATAATGAGCTATTTAATTATTATTTTTCCAATAAAAAGAGGCAAATGTAGACGATGTTGAAATACGAGCGACTATTTGCGTTGATTTTGAGCCATCTAGGTAACAAGACTTCGTATTCTTTAATTCCTGCTACAAATCAACAAAATAGCAATTTTACTGGCTACTACAAAAGAATTTCCATTATAATTCCCAAATCTGTCAAGCGTTTCGTCATATTTAGTATATTTTTAAGGAGTTATATTAAGGAGTTAATTAAATTTTTGAGTAGTTACTACTGCAAGGCTACTGCAGAATATAAAGGTTAATCAAATGCAATTTGGATCAAATCTGATAAGAAATTTACTAGATTTCACTAAATAAAAAAATAGTTATAATTAACTTTTTCGTAATAATAGTCTGAATTTCGTAATAAAATGCTTAATTCAAGATATTTATGAAAAATTATTTCTCTTTAGAGGGATTAAAGAAAAGGTCGAAATATGTTATCGCCTTGCAAGATTACAAAGCCCCCGGTGAAGGTTCCAGTTTCCTTACATTCCAAAAAGGCGATCTAATTATTTTGGAAGAAGATAGTACTGGCGAAACCGTGCTAAATTCAGGATGGTGTGTTGGAAGGTACTATAAAATTGAAAATTAAGCTAAATAGCTATTTTTTAGCAATAGTTCAAGTTTTCAATCTTAGGTTTAACGTTTTATTGTTAATTATTCACTAATTATGTGAACACATCAATTGATGAAATATCAAAAATTTTTATTAACATTTTGCAGATGTGAAAGGACACAAGAAAAAGGAGATTTTCCTGCCGAAACTGTGTATGTTTTACCGTGCATGAGTAAACCACCAGCAGATATTCTGCAATTATTCTCAGTAGAAGGTAAACAGTATTTTTTTATAAAAATATTTTAAGATGATAAAAGTATAGTATCTCGTATACGGAAAAAATAACAAAGTATAGAATATAGATAAAAAATAAAATCAATTCTTTTGATGAAAACATTTTTTTTTAGTTTTATTACAGATTCATTGTCTACCGCATTCAAAGAAACATTAAGAATTATTATTTACAGGCTTATTTTTTCTAAAATTCGAGAACGTCTGTATTTAGTATTCTATATTTTTATCCTCTGCTTTACCTGCTTTCAACCATTAAGAGTCCATTTCACTAGTCCGAAAGAGTAGCAAAATAAGCGTTCAGCATTTAACGTTTTATGTAAAACTGGCTAGGTATGTTTACACAAATGAAGAAGGAAATTAAAGATAAAGGATTATACTATATCCGTATTGTAGCACATTTTTAGACAACTTTTTTATGTTTAAAATTTTGGTCGTCTAACATCAACAAAATATTCCTTATATTTGGACTAAATTTTCTCCAAAATAAAGACATAATTTAAAATTCCGTTACAATACGGAAATAGGTTGAAGTTTTGTGATTACAGCGATATATAATTTTTATGGTTTTGTAATAATTGCTCGCTATTTTATGGCAAATGCTGAGGCTCTACAAACCTTAATCAAGCCTTAATCAAAGCACGTGTGTTTGGAAATTTGGGGTGGCTTAACACCACAGGATCGGGGTCAGCCTTAGGTATATTTCTGATATATAATATATATTTCCTTGCTTTACCCGACCCCTGAGAGCGACCCAAACAGTACAGCATAATAGACTCTTAAGCAATACAATTAAGTATATTTTTAAAACAGGAGTAAACGAGCACAACCGTCGTCTAAGTCACCATTCCCTCAACGGCACGGAGAACAGAGATAGGCCTCATACGCTGGCGGAATACGCCATAGATCATTTCCGACCGCCTTTGAAGAGGACGGTATCAAAAGCGTTGACGTTAAGTGGGGGAAGAAGAGGAGGCATAGACGAACTCTGGAGACATTCTAGGGAACCGATCAAGCAACCTCTGTTGAAGAAATTGCTCATGAAAGAAGAATTAGCAGGTAAATATATAAAACATTCAAAGATTAAGGCGTTCCGTTACAAAACCAGGCGAACCAGACCGGTAAACAGCGGTTCCTGAAAAATATCGATTTGATACAGAACGGTTTGGTAAAATATTGGAAACGTCAAATGTTGACATTTTCTAAATTTCAATATCTCTATTATAAAATTTATCTTTTATGCATTTTTAATGTACCTTAATGCTTTTACGTTTGCTTCTTCTTTTCCATGGAGTTTAATATTGAAAAGTACTTTATTAATGAACTGTTAAACTCGTTAGACAGTTCAAGTGAAGATTTGCAGGTCCAATATTAAAATAGATCAATAATAAATAAACAAATCTAATCAATATTTACATTTTTATAGCTTACAAAACCTTCACGATTACTTGTTGTCTTTTTTTCATGTTTTATCTAAATGTTCCTGACTTTAAGAAACAATGGCTGCATGATAAGTTTAAATGGTCCTAAAAAGTCATTCTATTTAGTTAATGAAATTTATTTACCTTTACTACCTACCTCAATTGATTTTGAATGTAAATACAAAATATTATTACAAAATTTAGAAATTAATTGAGAATTTCACTCTAACTTCCATTATTTGCTTGATTTCTGTCACATAAATGACATTGATTGACAAACAAAACCAGAAAAACCAGCCTTCTCCCGCTGGGTAATTTGGTGACAGTTATGACCGGTATTTTTCAGGAACCGTGTTTACAGTTCCGTAATAAGAAAACTTTCAGGAAACCGATAGAAACGGAACATAAAACTATAACAAAGGTAAGCAACGGAATACGCCCTAAGTAAGATTAGAGGACAATCGTCTGCTTTCTCTCGTTGTCCTATGTCTTGCATATCGGATTTGATAGATGTAACCCCAATAGGACTTTATAAATTTTAAAAATATTTTAAGATTAGTTGAAATGAGTGTAGGTTAGAGTGTAGATTTTATGAGAGGGGGGAAGTTATCTCCGCGACCTTGTAGATCCATTTTGTCATGTAATCATCAAAAGACAGTATCAGAGGCGGGTTTAGAGAGGTCATTTCTATCCAATATCAGTCGTACCAAAATGTATTGCACGAATGGTTGTCGTCTCGGCGCACTCAGTGATCAGGTGTTCTGGTGTTTTCCGATTTTCCCCACAGAATCTGCGTCCGCTATTGTTTCTTAGCTTCAATCTAGCGAAGTGTTCGTTGAGAAGAGTAGAGACAGTGTACTGTTAAAAATACCGTGACAATCTGACGATTGTTCTTACTTGAAATGAGTGATAAAAATAATTTTAATTTCCTTCCGACGATCCAAATATTCAGACGGCATCCCAAAAATTACAGATAATACAACTTACCTGTAAATTAAAATGGCAGGCATCAAATGTCACTGTCATGTATATTACGACTCAGAATTTCGACAGGTTGTCATATAATATCGTCCTAATAATGACAGAAATACACTTTACCCCATAATTAAAATTACAAACAATTGTGAGTATATATTATATAGTGTGCACATTACAAACTGGTAAGGTTAATTTTCCAATCTGACGTTTCGGATTCGAGAGATCATTATCACTATCAACTTTGCAAATATAAAGGCGGACTTGGAGTTTTTATTTTCCTCTTCTTTGGCCTTCGTAACTATAAAATAAATTCTAGTATAAAAGGCACAGCATTTTATTTGAATTTTTGGAAACAATGTGGGAAATGCCACGACTAGATAGAGTATGCTGAAATACTTACAGAAACATCTCGGGACTCGCTGACTATCAACTAACTGGCTAACTGACTATCAAGTTTCTGTCTATTTGACTAACTTTTCAACTTATTATTGACCGATTGCGCCGTCTTCAGCATACTCTTTTATATTTGTCTTCCCGACGCAATCGTCGACGGGTGCGTCATTAGAGTTTTTTGTATATTTTCATCACCGATGTTTGCAACGAAAACTTCGCCTGGAACCCTCACGTTACATCGCCCTGATTTTAATTGTTTTAATTAATAATGTTTATTATAATAACATGTCTGGGTAGACGTATACGTGAACGATTCCCTTGGGTTTACATAAAATTAGCTTACTGAAATATTTTTCCCCAAATTGATATAAACCCAAGTTGGTCTATAGTTAAGTGTTCATTACCACGGGCTGTACAAAAAAGCACTTTTTTGTATCTTGGTAAAATTAAATCAGTTTGCTAAAACAGAATATCAACATTTGAAAGTAAAAACATTTAACGTTCTGTCAACACTTTCTTTTTGAAAATAGGCAAAAATAGAAAATACAATACTTATATTTATAACTTACCTCAATTAGGAAAATTGAAATTAAAACTGGAGTTTTTTAACTTTTGTATAATCTCTCAAAATTGTTGGCCAATTTACCTATGAGTATTTTCAACTTCAGTCATTAACGGTTTCCGAGCTACAAACTATTATTATTATTTGTCTTTTATTATTTGATCAACATTTACATACAATGGGTTAAATATAAATGGAAATTTATATTAGTGCATCTAAATTGGCTATTAACTATGTAGTCCCTGGTCTTATAAATATTGCTATTAAAATTCCCTAACTGAATAAAATATGCAAATATAGAAAAATTATTTCTTCTTTTTATTATTTGCAGAAGAGGCTAGTTTTGCATTCAGTGCAATACTAAAATACATGGGAGACTTACCGTCAAAACGACCAAGGCTCGGAAACGAATATACGGATCATATTTTCGATGGTCCATTGAAACACGAGATACTGAGAGACGAAATCTACTGTCAAATCATGAAACAACTGACAGACAACAGAAATCGGATGTCTGAAGAACGAGGATGGGAACTAATGTGGCTGGCTACAGGTAAATTAAACATGATGACGTTAAGTGGGTCATGGGACTATCTTTTACATTTTTTCACCAATACTGACTATTTACTTAATTATTATTAATTTTACTAAATTATTTATACTGCTTGGTTAGAATTCTAAAATATTCATATCTGACTTTTCTCTTGCTGCATTCTTTTAAGTGTTAAAGTTGACTAAACACTTTTTAATATTAATATGTGTAAACATTACGGCCTAGTTTTATTGTTAACTATCCAGTTATTACTACTTAGGACTAGTTCTAAATTAAAATACAAATTCACCGACAACTTATAGACCGAGAGCTGGCTACATAAAAAACCTTATCATCGTTACATGGCTAATTTTTTGTGTGAAGTATCCTTTTGTGTAGCCATTGTGAAATAGTCATGTCTGCCAGCGCGATCCCGGGGCTTAAAGCGGGGGCGGCCAATCGAAAGAGTGAAATTTTGACACTAAAAATATTATAAGGTACACGAGTTATAGTTGCCAAATAGCTTTTATTTATTATTAGGACACGTGTAAAATTGTTGACAGACATTTTTCTCGTGGCTGAAATGCCGGCAGACAACGCGAAAGAGGCATAGAATTTTGACAAAAGAAAATCATCGCATACATGCATGTCGGTTGGTGGAATGTCATGTTTATTGTTAATTAATTTAAAAAGCCGTATGCAAAAGGGCAGACAAAAAAATCGTTATTGAAATAATAAAAAAATATATTTATAATATAATCGTATATTATATGATTCATCTATACTTAAATGGATGAAGCGGCCAGCGTTCCCTGAATAAAGCGCTAGAGTAATATCGCGCTTTTGATAACTGTCTGCAGCTGATTGAGCCACGATCTTTTTGTCTGCCCTTTTGCATACGGCTTTAAAAAAAAATAAATATGACATTTCACCAATCGGCATGCAAATATGCCATAATTTTTTTCATTCTTCAAATTTCATTTTTTAATAATTTTTAAAATTTTATGCCTCTTTCGCGTTGTCTGTCGGTATTTTAGCGACTAGAAAAATGTCTGCCAATAATTTTCCACGTTTCTTAATAATAAATAAAAGCTATTTTCGCTATTATAACTCATGTATCTTATAATATTTTTAGTGTCAAAATTTCACCCTTTCGATTGGCAGCCCCCGCTTTAATCCCCGGGATCGCGCTGGCAGACATGGCTATTTCATAATGGCTACACAAAAGGATACTTCACACAAAAAATTAGCCGTGTGACGATGATAAGGTTTTTTATGTAGCCAGCTCTTAAACTATTACGTATAGGCTTGGTGTATTTCAGTTGATTTCAACAAATGCCGACCGCAACGCTTCAACGGCAAAAATCAGAAATTATCAATATGTATTTCACGCCGCCGCGAGAAAAGAAACATATTTTCTCTTTACCGTTTTTTAAATAAGTCCAAAATAACCGAGTTATTTTACTTAATTTCCAAAAAAAAAATTGCTTAAATTTTGAGAACCACTTCTGTTTTTTTTTGTAAATTTAATCTAACACCTATGTTGCCATATTATCAATAAATTATCATTTTTAACTAAAATTTCCCAAAAAATTTTCAAAAAATTTCAAATTTTCAAAAATTTTTATTCGCGAAAAAAAACTCATAATCGTGATTCTGGAGTCGAAATATACTATCCCTAAAAATATTTGCACTTATTTAAGACTCACCCTGTATAATAAATTTTTCGTATACTCGCTATTTAAACCCGTGTATTTGTATATACTAGTTGTTTACCAAATTCTCCGATAGTGGCAGCACCGGCGAAGAATGCACCAAGCCTATAAAGAGATGTTAATCAAATGTTGTCATATTATGATAACGACTCTGGGTAGACGCACACATAAAGAGCAAAACAGTTCTAATCAAAAACATGTTTGTTCAGACCAGAATTTTGTTAACATACTCCTTCCTTAGTATTCAATAATGCAAAGAAGAAAATAAAGAAGCAACAATAAAAAGTAAAAGTACCAATCTTTTTAATACAATCTTCATAAATCTTAAAAAATATTTCTGTATTAAGCAAAAATTGCATTGTTTCAATTTATAGGTCTTTTCACTTGTTCTCAAAACCTCCTAAAAGAACTCACCGCCTTCCTGAGAACCAGAAGACATCCGATATCGCAAGACTCCCTCCAGAGGCTGCAGAAAACTCTGAGAAACGGCCAACGGAAGTACCCGCCCCACCAAGTGGAAGTCGAAGCCATTCAGCACAAAACGACGCAGATTTTCCATAAGGTGTACTTCCCAGACGACACAGACGAGGCGTTCGAAGTCGATTCGAGTACCAGAGCCAAAGATTTTTGCCAGAACATCAGCCAGAGGTTGAGTTTGAGGTCCAGCGAAGGGTTTAGTTTGTTCGTTAAAATTGCTGATAAGGTAAGTTTACCTTTTAATTATGAAATTATTTTGCCATGATATGATATTTAAATCCTATCTAACCAATAAAAATTGTTTATTTTGACAGGTCACTAAGGCCCATTTATTTGATCGGAAATTTTTCTCTTTACGGTGTGTAACCAACAGCGAATTATAGTAGAAATTTTTTGACATACGACAGACTAATAATATAAAGACGAGGATGTGTAAAATAAATCGAATATTTTTTTCCACTTTATACTCTAAAAAACTGGCGCCGGGAGGCACGTATAGCCGCCGGTACTAAAATATGTTAATAAAAAGTTGGTAGGCAGTTCTTTTAGTTTCAAAGTAAAGGAAATTTTCCAATTTTTTTTATCTCAAAAACTGCGACTTTGACTGATTTTCATGTTATTACAAATTTTGTTGCAAATATTATTCCTAATCTTAAATTGAAATCCGCGTTTCGCTAGCTACTGTAATTTTGGAGTTACGATTTTTTTAAATTTTTAACCCTCTCCCATACCCCCTTACCAAACCCCCACCCCCACCAAAAACTAATAGCCAGATTCTCGGGTGCCACAGTATTTTTGTGCCAAATTTGGTTAAAATCGGTTTAGCGGTTTTTTAGTTTGGTTTGGTTTGGTTTGTTACAGACAGACAGACAGACGTTACAGACAGACAGACAGACAGACAGACAGACAGACACTATGAAAATATTTTGTATTTAGGTCATTTATGACCCAAATAACTCATTTTGAGTGAAATTAAAAAAACTTTTTTTGCCGATCTTAATAGCCTACCATACCTATTAGCCGGAGAGCTGGCGACTCTAAATAGAGAACATATTTTAGGCAAGTTAGAATAACAAAAAAAATAAACTTTAATAACTTGTGAACCCAGAATCCTAAGTCTGGCTGGGGGGTTAGGGGTATTTCGCTACTGCGCAACCCATAACATTTGCAAAAAAATAAATCCAAAAAACATTCTTTAGGCAACTTGAAATTTGTTTATTCTTAAATGTTAGCATCTATTTAACCTAGAAATAAGTATGCCAGACTTTTTTTTCGGGTTTAAAGTGTAACCCGACCATTCCAAATATGTTTAATTATTATACTTGGAAAACATACTTTAGGCATTCTAAAATTTTTAAGCGCTTAACTATAAGCGCGAGAAAGATAGTTTATTGAGACCCGTCGGCAGACGATGATGAGCCGATGCGGCTGACGTAACAGTATTTTGGAGTACTTCAAATTTTAATAAAAACAATTTTTTTTCGGTTTCATTTCAATTATTTGCAGGCTTTTAATTCACAGATTATTTTGATATAATATGTCACAAAAATATAATAATAATTATACTTTTGTTACGTTTGAAAAAAATATATTTTATATTGTGCTAATTTTTAAATAATTATTCGTCTTTTTATTCTTTCAGATACAAAATACTTAAATTAAAAAGTCTTCTTATTGAAAGGATTTCAATCATACATTTTTATTAGAAAATGTTTCTTTTTATTTATTCAATATCCGACTCCAAAATGCTGTTACGTCAGCCGTATCGGCTGCCGACGGGTCTCAATAAACTATCTTTCTCGCGCTTATAGATACTCATAAGACTTTCTTATCGCGCTCATTTAAAATCTTTATTCACGTCTGGCAAGTATTAAATCCCATTGAATTCGTCTGGCTATTAACACATATTTTTTAATACCATCTAATAAAACCGCTGTAAAAATTTTAGAATGCCTAAAGTATGTTTTCCAGGTATAATAATTAAACATATTTGGAACGGTCGGGTTACACTTTAAATCCGAAAAAAAAAGTCTGGCATACTTATTTCTAGGTTAAATAGATGCCAAAATTGAAGAACAAACAAATTTCAAGTTGCCTAAAGAATGTTTTTTGGATTTATTTTTTTGCAAATGTTATGGGTTGCGCAGTAGCGAAATACCCCCAACCCGCCAGCCTGACTTAGGATTCTGGGTACACCAGTTAATAAACTATACATTTTTAGTTATTCTAGCTTGCCTAAAATATGCTTGCCCAAAAAAGGTCTTCTACAATTTTTTTGTAAACCTCACTGTTCGAAAGTTATTAAAGTTTGAAGTTTGATTATTTTACGGCAGATTTCTTTTTTCTTATGAATTTTATAACTCGTTAACAAATTATATTTGTCCACGACCACTTAATATTAAATCAATATTCTACTTCCTAGCTGAAGGAATATGGTGCCCATATTTGTAATAGAGTGAAATATAACAGCTGATAACAGTGAATTATGATAAATCACACTTTGCATCCTTTGCATTTACATTTGTGGCTATGCCAACGTGACACTCACAACATCCCGATGCGCGGCGTGGATTGACGTTATTCTTATCTTTTCTTTTTATTAATTTTGACGTTTAAAATTATCAAATGTTAAGCTATGATGTTAAGTAGGTAGTGATTATTAAGTGGCATATCAAGAACTCGTTTAAAATCAAAAAATGAATTATGAGAGTGATAATGAGCCCTGTACACCACCAGAGATAGCAGAGGTGGTCAAATTAAGAAGTCTTGGATTGCTACCACAAAAGTCTAAGGATCATTACATGTCTGCCTATAAAAACTTTCTAGACTGGAGGATTGCTAAAGGCATAAATCGTTTTCCGAATCCGTGTTATTAGTATATTTAGTTGCCATTGTAACGGAACAAACTACAATCTCTTGATTGACTAAAGAATGTTGGTACGATATTTTCATGCTTCTTCTTCTCGTCCGTTAACTCTCGAAAGAGTAAGGTGACATCATGTCTCAATTGCTCGGATCAATGAAATTCAAATACATATGTAACTTTAAATAAAACACACATTACCAACTTTAGTTATACAAAACAACAACAAGTCAGATGCGCGTACTCCAATTTATCGTTCTCCAAAAACTGTACTCAACTAAAGTTGGCAGAAGTATGTTTTATTGCAAAAAACTTGAAGCAGCATCAATAAAATTCAGATACATATATAACGATAAATAAAACACAAATTACCAACTTTAGTTACACAAAACAACAAAAAGTCAGCTGCTGGTATTCCAATTTATCGTTCTTCCACAACTGTACTCAACTAAAGTTGGTAGAAGTATGTTTTGTTGCAAAAAAACTTTAAGCAGCATCAATAAAATTCAAATACATATATAACGATAAATAAAACACAAATTACCAACTTTAATTACACAAAACAACAAAAAGTCAGCTGCTGATACTCCAATTTATCGTTCTTCAACAACTGTACTCAACTAAAGTTGGTAGAAGTATGTTTTATTGCAAAAAACTTTAAGCAGCATCAATAAAATTCAAATACATATATAACGATGAATAAAACACAAATTACCAACTTTAGTTATATAATACAACAAAAAGTCAGCTGCTGGTGGTACGATCTATCATTTTTCAACAAATTTATTTTACTAAAGGTGGTAGAAAAAAGTACTAATATACAGGTGTGTCGTAAAACACATCTAATAATAAACTTCCCAAATATTTGAAAATAGAATAGTTCGACATGACTGCGACTCTCGATGCATAGCAACTGATGATATTGACGTTTTTATTATCTTTTAGTTAATTTTGACGTTTGAAATTGCCAAATTTTAAGTAGGTAGTGACATTTTCCCCTAAAACATGAATACAATAATTAATAGTAAGATTAACTTTAAAAATACAGATTCAAACACTCCTTATAATTATTATAATGGCCGTGGACAAAGTATAGTATTCAACTCGCAATTTATAGCCATTATTCACTCAGGTGACTTGGGCCCCTCGCCTACGGCTCGTGACGTAAACGTCACCCTGCGTGAATAATGGCTAGCATAAATTGCTCGTTCAATAATACTATTTTATTGTAATTGCTGAATTTTCTGACAAATACACTTTCTTTACCGAAATGAATAATTCAGAAAGATTCTTTTTTCTTTCAGGTAATATCAGTGCCCGAAGGTGATTTCTTCTTCGACTTTGTCCGCCATCTGACCGACTGGATTCGGAAAGCCCGCCCTACGAGGGACGGCATAACGCCCCAATTTTCCTATCAGGTTTTCTTCATGAAGAAGCTCTGGACCAACACGGTGCCGGGCAAGGATAGGTTCGCCGACCTCATATTCCACTTCCATCAAGAACTGCCTAAACTTATCAGGGGCTACCACAAATGTAGCAAAGAGGAGGCTATCAAATTGGCCGCTTTGATTTACAGGGTTCGATGCGGCGATAGCAAACAAGAGTTGCAAGCTATACCGTAAGTTTTTTTGAAGCGAAACTTCTTTACGCGCGATGGGTGTAAGCCCGTGGTTACATTGGATGCGTGTCCGTGCGTTTTTTTGGTCGTACGTGCTCGGATGTGGACGCAGCAAAAAACAAATAAATGGTATCTACGCAGGCGGTTACATTGCATCGGAGTTTGCGCGTCCGTGCACGTACGTCAATTTCCGTTGGTCGGATGAAAACAAACTGGTTTGTTTTTTAATACGTGCACGTCCGAGCGTTCAAATTTTTCTTCTCTGATCCCAATACATTCCCGAAAAATTTGAATATTTTTGAATACTAGGTTTAATTTTATTTGGGATATATTAATGTATATTAATGTACCTAAAATATTCAAAAAATTTGACCGGTTGCTGTTTTAATTCACGAAATGTTTTACTTATTCATTTTCTTCTCCTCTTCTGGCATATATATAAATCATTTACCCAACATTTTCTTCTTTTCATGAGTAGTTATTTTAACATTATATCACAGATTAAGTATACTATTATGTATACAGATAAAAATCTTATCCCTAATTCGTGGTACGAAAATTGTTTTTTATGACGATGTGCAAACGAGTCAAATTTCCTGTGCGCAAAAATAAACTCCCGTAAAATAACAAGGCCCGATGTTGTTTCCTTTACGTGAGGTGGTATTAACTCTCTTCATTTATAGTTATCGGATCGGAAAGAATTCTGTTCGCGTCGCGTCCGCTATTTAAACTTAACCTAACTTTGAATTTAAAACTTTGAAATTGTTTTGTTTACTAGGTATTTTAAAACTAAAGGGCTAAAGTGCTTCTTTCCAGTGCTTTATTGTTCAACGTCTGCCAGTGAGTTTAGAGCAACAAGCAACAAATACTTCTCTTAGAAGGGCTAAGTCGTCATCTGCTGTAAACCTAAAACTTGTTCCATGTAGACGCGAATTGCGAATTGCGGAAAGCGATTCGCCAAAAAATATTCGCAATTCATTTTTGCTTCACTGAAAGTTACCAAAAAAAAATCATAACCTGAGATAACTTAATTTGTTTTTTATTCGTGTTTACGACCTTTATTTTATATTTTATAGCATACAATAGCTTACTTCGGGTTTCTCTTATTACCGATTCTGAACCGTCCTAGAACTGTGATGCGTATGCGCAGAAAATATGAAGACATTATTTCATTTGCGCATGCGCTGCAGAGTTCTAGGACGGTTCAGAATCGGTAATAACAAGAACCCGAACAAATCTAATATGAGTTCAAATTTGTTTAATGATTATGAATATTGATTACGATTGTGGGATTGGAACAGAAGGCGTAAAATTGCCATTTACTTATTGTTAAAACGTAGAAGAGAACGATCATTTGGGACATGTGAAATATTTAAATTTCGTAAGCAACAAGGGTGCTTATCGCAATTTAATTTAAGAAATGAGGACAAAAGATGAGAAAAAATTTAGGAATTTTCACAGATTGTCTGTACAGGAGTTTGATAACTTGGTTGAAAAATTGTCACCATATATATCAAAAACATCATAAATATATGCACAAGAACCCATCTTACCTGGAGAAATCCTTTCAGTTACTTTGTACTTTGTCAGCGTCGTCAAAATAATCGATAACCGATCACAACACCATTTTGCGCAAACGGGAACCTTAAAATCGCGCGAATATTCGCAAAAAGTTGAAAACACTTTAACTTTCCCGCCCCCCAAATTTTAAATCTTGCGAATCGCCACAATCTATAAATTTCTGACAGCGCTGCCATGATCATTAAAATTGAAAATGAGAGCAGTTTCGCACAATCGCGATTCGCGTCTACATGAACAAGGCTGTGCCGGTCAGGCGCTGTGCACAATTTTAGAGGCCATAAGTGGGCGTGCTGTGTGCGCAAACTAGTTACCTAACTAGTGCCCGATACCGAAAATTGGAACCACCAATAACAATAAAGAAAAAACAGATTATAATCTGTATAATCTGTGATTATATCCTCACAAAGCATCAAAGTAGTGGCGCTTGTTTTGGCACAAAGGAAACCATTAACACGCATCTAATGTAACCACTAAAATAAAATAGTCGTACGAGTAAATTCTGTCAGAGCTCGCACGTTTAAAAAAACGCACGGACCCGTGTCTAATGTAACCGCGGGCTAAAAATTGAAGGCCGCGGTCGGCCTTGATTGACGGCTGCGGGACGGCATGACCTAGTCATGACGCGAAGACCATGCGAAGCATCAGATCTGATAATAGTTGACAGGAGATATGCCTTATTTTGATTATTTTATAGGGTTATGGCGCAGGTTATGGTTGGGAATTGTTTTTTAGTTCGTTTAATTGAATAATTACTAAAACCAGCAGTTCCAAAAATATATTTAAAAATAAAAGATAAAAATTCAAAATATTTATTATCTATTAACATGGATTTAAACGATAAATTGATTCGAATAACGCTAACATTTGTCTATAAAGTAGTGTGGCTATCTTAATTTCTATGAAAATGTGACATCTGGTTTTTCCCATGTAATCTTCAAATGGTCTAAAAATCAGCAGAAATGTCCCATTATGCAGTAAAGACACTATTGTTGAATCATTGCCAATCATTACTATCATTAGTAGGTCTTTTCTGGGCATTTCACAAATAAAATCAATTGTCTCATCAAAAACTGAAAATGCAAAACAAATAGTAAGCTTTATAAATATCTATACAAATAACCATACTTACGTCTATTTATGTCCTTCAATCCAACCATATTTTAACCAATATTTTAATATCCTAGCCCAAGTAAATAATCAAAAATGCACTTTTTATATTAAGAATAGTAATGGGTATTTGAAATACAACCGGTTATATCATTTAGAATAGTCTTGAACAAGCCCGAAAAATGTTTCTAATTTGCGGTAAATCTTTTTTGAATCTCCATATAAAAGTTTTAAATACTACGTATAATCCTTGAATATGGGTATAATAAATCATGAAATTCGGGACGAAATATCCCTTTAATTTCTAAGCCTACCGACCTCCCGCGACTTCATGCCTTCATGCAAACTGCAAATCCGACCAGAGATTTCGCCTAAGCTCCGCCTTAATACGATACAACTCAGACTTACGTCGCGTCGCTACCGCACGATGAGCCGGATGAGCTAGACAGGGACAGAAGCATACAGAAGACTGCCGTAGGTCCTGCATCGACTCTGATAACAGGCGATAATAGAAATCGCTGAACAAGGGCGTGTGCAATATGCACACGGTCAAAATTATTTTGTTTTCGTACGCCAACGGTAGTGATTATTTTAATATAGAAGACCACAAATATTAAATTAATATTGATTATTACAACATCCTACATTGTATTAACAGTATTCTTGTGTATTGGCAACATTAATAGTAAATAGTGTAATGTAATAAACCGCTTAAATTCTGACAAAATTATAGGGTAGGCGCCGCACCTTGCCTACCCTGACGAGCCGCCGATTGGACAGACAAAAATCAATCTACTTTTGAACTTTAATGATATACAACTGCCACTCATATATTCAATTTCTGAAGACTATGCCTTGTTCTCGACTCCTGTAGTTGCTGTTCAAGGGAAATAATGATTATTACATTTTCCTTTTTCTGCAGGCAAATGTTAAGGGAACTCATTCCAGCTGACCTAATCAAAATCCAATCGGCAAATGACTGGAAACGATCGATAGTAGCGGCCTACAACCAGGACGCGGGTATGTCCCCGGACGACGCCAAAATCGGCTTCCTCAAGGTGGTGTACAGGTGGCCCACCTTCGGTTCCGCCTTCTTCGAAGTGAAACAGACCACCGACTCCAACTACCCGGAAATGTTGCTCATAGCTATCAATAAGCATGGCGTGAGTTTGATTCATCCCCAAACAAAAGTAAGTATCTATAAAATTTGTCGCTGCAAGCACACAAGCTGAGCGCGCACGAATTTAATAGTTTTTAAATCAGGATCGGGAAATCTACTTGCCTAAACAACCAGTTAAGTGATAAGTGATAGTTGCCAAAGTGGCAGTTGACATCTGTCATTTTAACTCACAGGTAAATTGTAATTTCTGTCATTTTTCGGATGACGTCTGTTAAAATCTTCCCCGACTCGTTGGAGAGACCATATTTCTTGAAAATAATTCTGGCGAAGGGTTCTGGCGCCACTAGAAGAAAATCTAAGGCCAATCTAATCGCATTTTAAGGCCAAAACGATGGTCAAATTTCTTCTGAAACCCAAGAGACCACAAATCGAAATGTGCAAGAATTTGTAAGAATATTGGGTCTGAACGATAAACATTGTTTACCATATCTATTTTAACATAAAAATGTTTATTACAGATTATCAAAGTTATGTATAAAAAAAGATTCTTTAAATTCCTTTCCGTATATTTTTAAGCGATATATGCAATAATTTTTGCCATGTGTGTAACATTTACTACCTGATAACAATTAATTTAATAGGAGATATACCTCCTGGAACGTTAAGCGTATTTGTCGGTTAGGCAAATTTGTTATACTAGTAAAAAATCAATGACAGCTGGCTTTTGTTTTTGATTCAATGCAGAGGTGTCTGAACAACAAAAATTAACTTTATTTTGTAGATTATCATCAAATGAACCCGCCACAAAGGTGTAGGCATTTTTTAGACTTTATATTGTGTTTAAAACAGTACCTATTTAAATAAAAAAAAGAGTATGCTGTTTGAAGCCCATATTTATTTTTCGTATAAAAACACAACGATACGTAATATTTCTTTATAAATAATCAAATTAAACTCACGACCGTCTATTAAGTTCAATTTTGATTGTTCATTTTTTATTACTATTATTCACATGAGCCACTTCCTGTTAATTGATAAATATTACAATATTCTAATTATGTTGATATTTTCTCATGTTACATAAACCTTGTTTTTCAAATTAAGATTAATTGTTTCGCCAATAACATATGTAATTATGCACGAAGGCATATTTTTAGAGGACTATTAATGCGTATCATTCGTTTTAATAATGGTATTTAAAATTTCAAGCAAAAATTTTTTTCTCTGGCAAAATAAAGACTAAACATTTTGGCGATTTTCTTAATCTATACTACTCGTAATATATAAAATTCTTAAGTGACTCACTGATTAATCACGATCCTGCTCAAACCACTCAACGTAAGAAGCTCAATTTTGGCATACAGGTTGATTCTAGGGTGTAGAGGTTCGATAAGAAGGGATTTTTCGAAATTCCAGTTCCAAGGGGGTGAAACCACCCCTCAAATGTTACAATATTTTTATTTTAAAAACGGTTTCCGAAAAAAACGCTTAAACACGTATATTTTATTTTGTCTTTTTACATATTTTAAGATTTTTTAAAAATGTATACAGGGTGTTTCGAAAAATCAGGTCATTGATTAATCACGATCCTGCTTAAAGCGCTTGACGTAAAAAGCTGATTTTGGAAAACGGATTGACTTTAGGGTGTAGAGGTTCGGTAAGAAGGGATTTTTCGAAACTCGAATTCGAGGGGAGGTTTCACCCCCTTCAAATATTAGAATATTTTTTATTTAAAAACAGGTGAGTTTTTCGGAAAACTCTTAAACACGTATATTTTATTTTGTTGTTTTACATATTTCAAGATTTTTTAAAAAATTATGCAGGGTGTTTCATAAAATATGACCATTGAGTAATCACGATTCTGCTTAAACTGCTTGACGTTTAAAGCTGATTTTTGGCAAACGGATTGACTGTGGGGTGTAGAGGTTCGATATGGAGGGGTTTCTCGAATATCAAATTCCAAGAGGGTGAAAACGCCCCTCAAGTATTACAATATTTGTTATTTAAGAAACGGTTAGTCTTTCGGGAAAACGCTTGGATACGCATAATTTATTTTGTTTTTTTACATATTTTGAAATTTTTAAAAAATCATACAGGGTATTCCAAAAAGTTGGGTAATTGATTAACCACGATTCTGCTTAAACTGCTTGGCGTAAAAAGCTTATTTCTGGCAAATGGATTTTTCGAAAGTCAAATTCCAACTAGATGAAACTACCCCTCAAATATTACCAAGTTATATAATAATATCGCCATATTGTTTTTTTTGAGAAAATTTTATCTAGTTTGTATGTTACTGAAAATTCTTGCTTATTGCTTTATCATCACCATTACAAATAATTAATTCGACGCGAGCAAAGTCGCGGGTACATGCTAGTATCATATATTTTATTTTGTTTCAGGAAATACTAGTGACGCATCCATTCACAAGAATATCCAACTGGTCTTCAGGCAATACCTACTTCCACATGACCATTGGTAACTTGGTTAGAGGATCAAAACTTCTTTGTGAGACGTCACTGGGTTACAAGATGGACGATCTATTAACCTCTTACATATCCTTAATGCTCACAAATATGAACAAACAAAGGAGCATACGAATCAAATAATTCCCAATGAAAAAACAGTATGTACCTCAATGTAAACTACATTCCATTTGGTAAAAAAGTCTAATGATGACATTGACAGTAAGAATGTATTTTTCTGTTATATATTGATTATACATTATACTAGATTTTATTGTTGACGATTTGATTGAAACATTTTGATGTACTGATGATAATCCTTTTTTGATTTATTCATACAATCAAAAAGGATATTTCAACGATAGATCTAAAATCGAATAATACTCTTATAAATCTATTACTTCCCAGTGTTTTGACTTTATCAGTAATTTGTTGAGTATAGTATATACAGTCAAAAAATAATTTATTTTTATTGGAATCTCTGAACGAAGCTTTGTCTTAATTTATCTAGTGAAACAGAGATCTTATACATTATTTATAAAATATACAAGGGTTATAAACGAATAAAGAAATTAGTGGACAATAAAATTTATGAAGTAAAAGATATTTACTGAATAACGATATTCTAATTTATACTATATTTTGAGACATATGAATTTTAAACTTATACTTTCATAAATATTTTACTACATGGTGAATATAAGTGGCTTTTTATTGTATATCTATAAAAAATATTTATATTTATGTAAATATTTTAACATCACTAAGAATGCTGTAATATAAATATTTCAATAAAGAAATAATTAGATAAAGAATAGTTTTATTCCATGCCACCCTCTGTTAAAGTGCCATTACTACCGCTTTCCCGTTCAAAATATTCTAATAAGGTTGCGATTAGTTTTTTGCAACGGCTATTAAGCTATCTTGTACCTATCTTAAACCAAACTAACTAAACAAACTATTTCAAATATTATTGTAGATTGTTTCAATCAATGTTCAGTGTGTCCCACTAAGAATAGCTCTCGGCTGTATCTCGGAAAGTATTAGTCGTAAGGCTTGCGGAAAAACATATTTATAACTAAAGCGACCATGAGAAATTGCTGGAAATTAGTTTCAAGTTTGTAGAACGGAAGGCGTAACAGCAATGGAAAATTACAAAACGGAATTTTTTAAAAATGTTGCCAAGATACGATATAGATAATATAAATAATAGCTTCATAATATTCAGTAAAGGTTGGATCTTTTTTGTTAGACCATTTTCCCCTATCTGCTAAAATAAAGTGGTGGGGAAGGTTAGATCTGTTTTTATTTAAATGTTAATAACTCCGGATTGGATGATCGGAATCCAACAAGTGAGAGCTCGTTCAAAAGAGTGTTTATTACTCTATAATATACCACATAAACGATAAAAATAAGCTTTTGAACGTAGGACGCTAGGGGGTGCTGTCTTACAATTTAACAAACATTACGCGTTTTTTTTTCAAACAAAAAATATATAAATGCGATAGTATATGTAATTTTAGCGGATACTAAAGAGTAACAAAAGCTTAAAAAGTCAGCGAAAACCGCATCTTGATGTCTTTTTTCAAACCAACCAAAGTTATTAGCAAAATTATAATAAATACGAAAAAATAATCCCTTACCTGATTACCTAATATGCCTAATTACCTTATTTTTCTAACACGGTATCACTCTCCCTCTTGATTATGACGATTCTAATAAAAAATAATATAAAAAAGATTATTTTATTCAAAAAATTGGCAATGTACCAGAATACCGTAAGGTAATGGTGTGGATCCGGTGGCTGACCTTGAAACGAGTTTTTGCTGTATATAGTTACAGACACTACGCATGCGCACATCTTCGATGTTGCCAGATTGCAAGTTATTTTGGAATTATTTTCAGTAGAAAACGAATATGTGCTTTTCAGTGTTTTTTTGTCAATATATACAGTATGATCGAAAAAACGGCGTCCAGTTGGCTGGGAAATGACGATTGAGGACATTTCCCATATAAAATGGCAGCGATCTTCATCATAGTACGCGCGGTATATCATTTATATTATTATTTTAATATTTCGCACAACACGTGAAACATGAACGCTTATTAGAGAACAACGGCATACGGTCGAGTCGGCCACTCCTGGCACGTATACGTAGACGTAAAGAATCTTTTACGTGTATAAAAAATAGAAAATAGAGAACAACGGCATACGGTCGAGTCGGCCGCTGCTGGCACGTAGACGTAAAGAATCTTTTACGTGTATAAAAAATAAAAATATAAGAAATGCGCATGCGTACGTAAACGTTTACGTGTTTGTAGGCCGACTCGACCGTATGCCGTTGTTCTCTAATATAAGAAATGCGCATGCGTACGTAAACGTTTACGTGTTTGTAGGCCGATTCGACCGTATGCCGTTGTTCTCTACTATGTATTTTCATAGTCAATAAAATTAAATAGAAATAAAATTCTAGATTCCTATAATTAATCTAATTGCTCTAGATTATTATGCTACGTTTAAAAAGCGCTTTATTAAAAATTCAGGATATGTGTCCAAGTTTTTTGTTTTTTTTTAATTTTTAAATGCTGTAGCTCCATGTCATGTTCATAATAGGTTTTTTTAACATTCCATCAAAACTACGGAGGCCTTAAAAGGCCTTTTAGTCTCCGTAATTAAAATTGTAGAATCAGCTTCAGCAACATTTACAGTTACCTTGTTTAATTCTGCTTATATATTGCATTAATTTTTCTGCTACCTTAAGATTTCTCTATTCTTACACCTAATTTATGTGATTTTCTTAGCATAATATGATTTATAAACCATATTTTTCCTAATGGAAGGATGGAATAGGATATGCAAAATTAAGATATTTTAACATTTATTTTCCAGACAGAGCATAATATAGTATTAAGATTAAGACATAACAAATATTATAAGGAAGATCTTAATATAAATCACAAACTAATTACAAACTAATCTTAATTTGGTCTTGTATAAACACAGGTATAAAACTAATAAGATCAAAACTCAACCTTCACCATATTGTCAAGATTTGGCATTATAGGAAACAAGAAATTACAGTAAATTAAGAAAAGAATATCAAAGTATACGATATTAAATACTGTAATGTATTCTACGACACAAACCGTCTCCCTTCTACAGAGAAAAAGATAAAACATAAAGCTTATTTTAGTCTTATCAACACACTCTTCGATAAAATATATGTCTAAAATTGCTATTAATCTACTAACTTGATATTTTTAAGAAATTATGATACAAACGTTATAATCAAAGTATATTATATTAGTAACATTATAAGTAAGATGTTACCTCTATCTCCCATTGATGTGTATTGTTCTATAAGACTCGTCATGGTAGTATTTCAAAACATCAATACATATAATCAAAACTATCGTTGCCTGTAAATAACTAGAAATTAAATAACTTGAAAGAAATAAAATAATTCTAATAAGTTTAAAACCATTAAGAAAAAATCCGTACATGATAATTTTTAATTCTAATGTAAATATATAAATAAATGTTATTTATTATTACAATTTTATATATTCATAATACTTTCATTTCACAATCTTCATTATCCTTCTTACCTTAATTTTGGATATCAAGATAAATCTGGAATTATAAAATTAATTATAGAATTTCTATTATTTTTGATTAACACTCCAAAAAAAATTTTCAACTGCAGATAATTCGAAAATAAACTGCAATTTGGCAACATCGACGATGTGCGCTTGCGTAGTATCGATGATCAAATGCAGCAAATATAGGCTTCAAGGTCAGCCACCGGATCCACACTGTGATCCACACCTTTAAGCCGGAGTCTCATGCATCCGAAATCCGATGGTACGACATCCGAAATTTGAAGTTATCGTGTGAAATAAAAAAAGCCTGTCACATACATCCGAAAGTTCGTTCCGAAATTTGACAGTTTTGGCATTTAGACTTGTAATTACTATGTATTATTATTATGTATTATTCCATGTATTATTGGAGAAACACTTATAAAAATAACTTCCTCGCCAAATATCCCGAAATTGCCCACTTCCCACTAAACTTGTTTTTTTATGTTTTCAAAAAAAGTGAGGTTAAAAAACACACGATATCGTACAAAAGTTAAACAAAATTTAACTTTATACGACGTCGGACGATTAGTTAAAAATATCGGATAAAAATTGGTGTCAAAATATTTCGACCAATAGGAGCACCGTCGGATCGTCGTGTCATCGGATTTCGGATGCATGAGACTCCGGCTTTACCCTGCTGGATCTGTGTCTATGAAAGGAATGCGGACAAAAAACATTTAAATAAACAGCTAAATATTTATACGTCCATTTGACGAGTGCGTCACCGCAAATCGCTCCGCCCACTCATTTTATTGGCTACTTGCAAATTTGATGAATTTTTATTGATGGGACGCGTCGTCTATTCTTTTACGAAAAACATCGAGAGAATATCGTTTCCCCTCTCACGGATACCCCGTAGCTACAGAACGGACAGACGTACTGTACCTAATATCTAATAATTAAGATATCAATGACAGTGAACAAGAATCGACGCCTCAGTGAATTCATGGTAGGCTTTGGAAAAAAGATGTTTTTAAAGGAATAATTTAAGCATCAAAATATTATATATCAATATTATAATAGTCACACCAGCGTTTTCTATCTTTTGATTGCTTTTCTGAAAATGCCTTTCTTTTAAGAGAAACAACGCTGCTAAGACTATCAAAATGTTGACCTAATAACACTTTGACATTTATACTATTACGTCAAAGGCCACTTTTTTCCGAAGCCTACCATAACTTCACTGAGGCGTCGTTTCTTATTCACTGTCATTGATATCTTAATTATTAGATATTAATACATCTAATATTATGGTATTCTGGTATATTTTCGATTTTAGAACAAACTAATCGTTTATATCATATTTTTTATTAGAATGGTCATAATCAAAAGGCTCTGCAAAAGGGCTACTGTAACCGTGTTGTAAAAATAAGGTAATTAAGGGCTTATTTTTTCGTATTTGTTATAATTTTGCTAATATCTTCGGCTTGAAAGAGGATATGAAGATCCGGTTTTAGCCGACTAAAAAGTCATTTTTAAAAAAGCTTTTATTACTCTTTACTGTCAGCTAAAATTTTATATACCATCCAATTTAATTTTTTTGAAAAAACACGCAATGTTTGTTAAATTATAAGACATCTCCCCCTAGCGTCTACATTCTGAAGCTTATTATTATTATTTTTACGGTATAATATAGAGAAAAAAACGCGCTTTTAAACGAGCCCCCGTTTGTTGGATTCTGATCATCCAGTCCGGAGTTATTTAACATTTAAACGAAGACAGATCTAACCTTCCCCCACCACTTTATTTTCGCAGAATGGGGAAAATTGTTCCAACAAAAAATATTCAAATTTTACTGAAGATTACGAAGTTGTTGCTTAAAGTACCCGTCATCTAGGCAAAATTGTGTAAAACCTCCCTTTTCTTATTTTTTATAGCAGTTGCGCCCTCTAGCGGCCGTTCGAGAAACTTAAAAATAATTTCCAGCAATTTCTCATGACCTCTTTAGTTATAAATATTTTTTTTTTCCGCAGGCCCTACGGCTAATACTTTCCAGGATATAGCCGAGAGCTATTCTTAGTGGGACACCCTGTACAGAGATTTACGAAATGTTGCAATGACGTCTACAATCTATTTCATTCTGTTTTCACGCGAAAGAAGAGTACGTGTGGGTATATTATGACATAACGTTAAAAAGATCGATGGTTGTAGACTTCAGGAA